GACTGAAATATGGTCTTTTGGGGGTTTAGAGCCCGCCAGATTTCAAACTGAAATTCACACAATCAGCTTTCTTGGTTCTCAGGTGCTTTCACTGGGACTGAGACTACACACTGGCTCTGTGGAGTCTCCAGTTTATGGACAGCAGACCTTGAGATTTTTCAGTGTCCATAATTGGTTGAACCAACTGCTTAGAACTAACTCTCTCTCTCTCTCTCTCTCTCTCTCTCTCTCTCTCTCTCTCTCACTCACGCTTGGTTCTGTTTCTCTGGAATCCTAACTCATACAAGAACCAATTCTAAGCTCCTTGAATGGCCTAAATACCCTACATGACCTGGCTGCTACCTACCATCCCAACACACAGCCAGCCCCTCCACTCCAGCCTCATCAGCTTCCTTCCATTTCTTCACACACAAGAGGCTCCCTCTTTCATGGAGTTTTCAAACATTCACTTGCTCATTTATTCATTGATAAATGCAAATAATTATTGAGTTCCAGCACTGTGGTAGTAGTAGGAATATAAGAATACGATAGAAAAGGACCTCATATACTCTAGTTATGGGAGACAGAAAGAACATATAAACAAATGACTTAATTTCAGAGAGCAGTATATGCTTCAAGAAAAATTGAGTAATATAATAGTAATTTGATGATCAGAGAAAGGCTCGCTGTGTCTTTAAAGCACACTACGATATAGTAAAGACTTATTAAGACCCAAGGAAGCAGCAATGTAGGCAGAGAGAATGACAAACACAGTACTGACTCTGAAAAGCTTGGTAAGAACTAGGAGCAGAAAGCCAGTGTGGCTTAGCACAGTGGGGCAGCAAGAGAAGGTAAATGGGTAGACAGGAATGAGCTAGAGCCTTCATAGCCAGAATAAGAATTAAAAATTTATTTTAAGTGCACTAGGAGCTTTGGAGGGTTCAGGTGATCTGTGTTTGATTATCCACTGCAGTGTATAACAGTGGGCATGGGGGGGACCAGTCAGGGAAGTGGGCACTGCAGCAGGATGAATGATGGTAGTAACTTGGATTATAGGGATGTACAAGAAATGAAGGAGTGATTCAGGATATATTTTGAAGATGGAACTGCCAGTGTGGCTACAGAAAAGAAAGGACAACTCCTGGATTTTTGATGTGAACAATCGGCCAGAAGGTAGTGCCATTTTTTAAATATGAAATTTGTGAGGAGACAAAAATAGGGTTGAGAAGGAAGGAGGCCATTTGCCTATGTTATCCCTCTTCCTAGACCGATTTTCACCCCCTGGTCACCTACTTAACTCCTTCCCATTCTTTAGACCTCAGACCAAAATTCACTTTCTCAATGAAGTCCTTCCTCAACTGGTTCAAACCAAACCTCTGTTTTAAGTATGTTCTCTCTTGATGCCTTGTAGTTTCCCTTAGTACCTGAGTTAGAATGTAAAAGTAGCCACTTCTCCTCCCTTTACCAGCCACCCCTGCTCTTAACAACTGAAGCACCCACTCACTAACTCTGAGACTTGTAGCAACCAATAGGATATTGGTGAACATGATGCTGGCAGGAACTTGAAAGGCATTTGCGCAGTGGGACTTGTCCTGTCTTGCTGCCTCAGAACTGTGAAACCACATAAGGAATCTGGTTGTTCTGGAGAATGAGAAATGTGTTGCCCCTGTGCTCAGGTGGCCTACCTCAAGATACGTAAGAGTGGCCATATGTATCAATCTGTTTCCATGACTAAAATGAAATGCATGAGGCAGGCCAATAAAAAATAAAGGTTTATTCAGTTCACACTTCTGCTGATTCAAGGGCCTGGCGCTAGTACAGGATCAGCTCTGATGAAGACTTCATGGTTCATGGCTCACAGGAAGCAGCATGTGTGGGAGGAAAAGACCACATTTGGGTAGGGCCAGACAGAGGCCTTTGTAACAACTCTCTGGGGAGACCTAACCAGGATCCCACCACAAATACCTTAATCCTGGCCAAGGGCAGTTCCTCCAGGGACACAAGCTCCTCCCCCTAACAGCACCCCTGAAAGGCCCATGACTTCCCATCTCCACACTGAGGACCAAGCCTACAACTCATGAACCCTTGGGTGACACACTCAAACCATATCCAAACTGTAGCACCATCCAGTCATGCAGCTACCGGCCACCAGCTGATTAAAATAGGGAGGACAAAGAATCAACAACTGGGACCTCATCTTATTAAAAAGCTTCTGCACAGCAAGAGAAACCACCAATGAAGTGAAGAAACAACCCACAATCTGGGAAAAAAATTTTACCAGCTGTTCCTCAGACAAAGGACTACTACCTAGAATATATAAAGAACTTTAAAAAATCAGACCTCCCAAATTTAAAGATCCACTCCAAAAATGGGCATCTGAAATGAACAGACATTTCTCAAACAAAAAAGTAGAAATAGCAAATAAACATATGAAAAAATGTTCAACATCACTGGTCATTCGAGAGATGCAAATGAAAACAACACTGAGATTCCACTTCACCCCAGAAAGAATGGCTGCTATCATGAAATCAACCAATAACAAATGCTGGCGGGGCTGTGGGGAAAGAGGAACCCTGCTCCACTGTTTGTGGGAGTGTAGACTGGTGCAACCACTGTGGAAATCACTATGGAGATACCTCAAAAAACTAGGATTAGAGGTCCCATTTGACCCAGCTATTCCCCTGCTGGGTATCTTCCCAAAAGAATTAAAAGCATCATACTGCAATAGGGGAAGAGACGTAACTCCCAAATCCAAAACACGAATTCATGTTCTCTAAAGTCGAAGAATAAATTTTAGGAACAACAGAGGTAAAGAGTAGGAAAAATTTATTGAGAGAAAGAAAGCTTCTGTCTAAGAGAGACTGAAAGGGGACTGGAAAGTGGGTTGCCCACCCACCCCACTTTTCAGACTTTTTATACAGCAAAGCCATGTGGTGAGGCAGGTATAAAGTGGGACAAAACTATAAGACCCAATGGAAATTTACAAGGTGGGGGTGAAGTGGGACAAAACCATGACCAACCAATAAGATTATAAATAGTCACCCAGGTAATACTGATTAAATGGGGATCAAATAGGGGAGCAAGTCATGTAGCAAGCATACAAGGATTTTCAGTAAGAGTGAGTCAAGGATATTTCCTGGAGAGGCTGGGTTAAGACCTGGCCCCCCACCCAGGTGATTGATACCTGTTTAGAATATCAATCACTGCTATTCATTCTACATAGGTGTGCTAATTTCTCCCCTTTTACAACCCTGGCCTTCAGTGAATGTGCCTTCACTGTCCTCCATGTTGGCTCCTGAAGGGATGGCCCTGTCTAAGTGCCTATAAGATAGCTAATTAACTTACCTATCTACAATAATAGCACAGCAATATATGTGCAACCATGTTCATAGTGGCACAGTTTGTGATAGCTAAAACTCGCAAACAGCCCAACTGCCCATCAACTGGAGACTGGATAAAGAAGATGGGTTGTTTGTTTGTTTTTATAAAATGGAGTACTACTCAGCTATAAAGAACGAGAAACTACAGACATTTATAGCTAAATGTACATTGAGGCCATCCTCTTAAGTGAAAGAAATAGGACACACATGTGTAAATACCGAATAGTTTCTCTGGTGTGAGAAACCGAAAGTATAAGTAAGGATCAAAATGTTTAACAGATAATGTGAAATAGGAAGAAAAGGGGCAAAGGGGAAGGGGAAGTGGGAGGGGAAGGGGAAAAGAAAGAAAGGAAAGCAATAAATATGAGAAAAGGAAAAAACGGAAACAAAGCCTTTGTAAATAGGGAGGGGAGGAGGGTTTGAGGGGAGGGCAGGGGAATGGAGAAAAAAATAAGAACCAAGATGCGTCGTTTAAAGGTACAAATTCCCAATGATGAATGTCATCATATTGCATACCTAAAACGTACCAATAAACTTAATAATAAAGTAGGAAAGAGCCTGACCGAACAGAACCAAAGCAGTAGAAATACCCAGCCCGCTCACAGAATACTGAGCTAGAGAAAGCAGTTTGGTAAACCACTAAGTTTAGTGGCGATATGTTGCACAGAAAAAGCAATACAGTAGCACATACTTCCGCTGCAATTTTACATCTATGTGTTTGATTCACATCTATCCCTCCGCCCAGTGTAAGAGGTCTATAAGAGCAAAGGCTCTTCTGACTAGGTTACCACTCGGTTCTCAGAGCCCAGCATAGTACCTACAACATAGCAAGCATTCAACAGAGAGCTTGCTGAAAGAATGCAGGGGAAGAGAGGCGGGCACTGTAACACAAGGGAGGAAGGGAAGCTTTAAAAGGGGGTAACAAAGGTCCTTGGTCCATTTATGCGAAATGACTCCTTCGAAGCTTATGCCAAAACCCATTTCCTTTACCTGAAAGAACTCGAGACAGAAGAAAATCAACAGTATATTCCAGGCGAAAGGCACCTAGGCTGCCTGAATGAGACCGATAACGCTTGAATTTAGACCTGGTTTACTTGGAAAAGCAGCTCTCAAAAATTCCAAGGGGTGCTAAGGGACACGGGTGTTCAAAGGAAAATCTGGGGTCCGTATCCTCGGTGTATTTTTACATTTGAAGTGTGTCTCATTAGACTCTCAGGCCTTTGTATCTAACACAATCTTTTCCACCAAGGAGGAACTAAATAAATATCTGACCACATTTTCAGATTCAACATCGAGAAACACACAGACAAGCATGCCAGTGGACGAAGCCGAACACGGACCCAGTTCGCCTTCGAGTTCGCATCTCCCTCCCGGTTGCTGGCGGACTGGCTTTTTCTCCTCTGCTCACAGCCACCTGGAAGGCCGGAGACCGGGGTCTAGTAATGGCAGCGCTTGTGAAGGATAAAAGGCCCAGGGTCCCCATCCTGCTCGCAGGCGGGCTCTCGCCGTTACCCTCCGTGGTCCCTCCCCGCACTGCCCTAGTCGCACCCCTGCGGGGCCCCAGGCGCTTCCCGCTTCGACCGCGGGGGCGCGCGTCGCGTTCCCATGGAAACCCCGGGCCGGCGCGGCGGCGCGCTCGGGGCGGGCTCTCGGGTGTGCGTGTGGCTCGCGCCCAGCGCGCGTCGGGCGCCTGGGAGCCCCAGTCGTTGGGCTCCAGCCCCTGGCTCCTGGCCGTTTGCGAGGCAAGATGTTAAGGCGCACCCTGGAAAGCCGGTAAACATCCTGGGGCCTAACTGCCCAGGGCTGCACGTACGCGGGAGCTGGGATCGGGGAAGGTTATCCTTTGGGTGGGGTGGGGGTTCGCGCCCAGTTCGACCCCGGGCTGGAGGCGCCAAGGTCCCCACCGCGCTCCCGGCCCACCTCCTGGGCTGCGGTGCGCCAGAAGCCGGAAAAGCCCATGCTCCTCTGCCGCCCACCCGTTCCTCTCGGCTGCGGTTCGGCCTACGGTGCAGAAGCCAGGCAGGCAGCTGGCGCCCGGGCTGGGCCCCATCGCGGCCCTGCATGGACCTGGCAGGGTGGCCAGGCCCTGATGGGATCCTGGAGACAGTGGCACTATTGGGCGGGGGGCGCCTTCAGAGCTGCAGTGTCTGAGAATGTCTGCATTATCAAATCAACGTGAAGCCATCTCAGCTCTAACGAGAATGTTTCGCGTTTTATGTCACCTTTTTTTCTCTAGGGACGCTCAAACCAGACAACTGCAAGATGCTGTCACAAATGTGGAGAAGCATTTTGGGGAGCTGTGCCAAATCTTTGCTGCTTATGTGCGGAAAACTGCCAGACTGCGAGACAAAGCAGACCTCCTGGTGAATGAAATTAACATGTATGCCTCTACAGAGACCCCAAATTTAAAGCAAGGCCTGAAAAATTTCGCTGATGAGTTTGCCAAACTTCAGGATTATCGACAAGCAGAGGTATGGAGTGAGGTCACAGCATCATTTGTTAAGAATGACCCAGGAAGTAGTTGAGGTTTCATGAAGATTTTCATTGTTATCTACTATCTACCCAGCCACAGAGACGAACACACATTGATGATAAACATACCTTTTCATGTTCCAAACACCGTGTGGTTACATTAGAGGAAAGTTTTCTATGATTTATCTTGCTGTTTTCAAACAAAACTAGGGTGTCTGTGAAATCTTGAATTTACTTCATTTGCCAACTTTGGCAAAGGGGTGCCAGTGTTCTGAGGGTAGTAAACACATGGGGGAAGAAAAGTAGTAAGACTTAAGTACTGTGAGCATGTAAGTGCATTTTAATGTATTACTAGAGATGGAAAATGTTAAGAATGGCAATATAAAAGAACAAATTATTAATAAATAGGCAAGATTGTGGATGCTTTCATGCTCTAGAAAGTTGACCAATAGGGAAGCTATGCTTTATATTATAGATGTAAATCAGTAGAGACATTGTGAAGTAAGGTTGGTTTTTGTGTTTTTTGCTTTGAGTGGCCAGATACTTGTTCTTGTGATTCCTTTCTAAAAGCCCTTTATTTCCTTTAATACTCATAAGGACTTTCACTATACTGTCTCAAGACAAAGGTTAACTTGTCAAAAGCTGCCCAATTAGAACGCCATTGCTTTTTCTCATCAGTACACTCATCTCTCATTGGTTCTTTTTTTTTTTTGATACCAGGGATGGAACTGGGGACCTTGCGCTTTCGAGGCAGGCTACAGAACTATTGAGCTAAACCCCCAGCCCCTCTCATTGGTTCTTTTTTAGAGCCTAAGACTGAAATTTTGATTATCAAAAAGCTAGCTGAGAAGAATCATTATTATGCAAATAAAACATTTGAGTAGTAACCACATTTAGGTACCTTTTGGAAAAATGCTGAGTTCTTGTACATTGATTCTGTGATAAGAAATTCTCAGTTAAACATGGTACCTGGGTATGTTATGTTTCAAAACTAATTCATATTCACAGATACTTCTGAAATCCTATTTTAGCCAGTAATTTCCCCTTTCTAGAAAACTTGTATGCTATTTATCAAAGAGCAAAGTGAACTGATTTACATTTGTTCTCCTTTTATTTCCTTTGCTTACCAAATGGTGGAGATGCTAATGAACAATGATAAAAGGTAGGCAACCAAAAGGAGAACCAAAGGGGAGGGGTTCTGAATAACCCTTACACTAGAGTCAGTGTACAGATTATTAGAAATGCTTTAGGATAACCTCTCCTGAATAGTCATTGCTTTGATTTTAGGATTTCTAATATTTAAATGCTTGATGGGAACTTGATTTGTTTTTTCATTTTCCTAAAATCTTTTAAAATGAAACACTCATACATTTTGAATAAAAATGAAAAGATCAATATGAAATGAAATGTACACTGATATTAGCATGTATCATTAGTCTTTTTTTCTGGTATAAAACTAATACATGTCCATTTTAAGCAATTAAATAAGTATATGCTATTTGTATTACCTATCCTGATAGAAAATTTTAATGTCCAAGGCGTTTCCTTATATTTATATACATACATGCCTGTTTTTAAAAACTATTCTTTCAGTGCAATTGGCATTAGTAAAATTACTCAAATTATATTTTAAAACACTATAATGTATAAGAAAAACTAATGCTAGATTAAAACTGATTCTAGATCATCATTTGACAGATCAGCAACACTAAGACAATTATGTTGTTCTCTAACTTTGATAATTTAAATGGTTATCAGAAAAAAATGCAGTGAATACAGTAATGTCTGTTTTTTGCTTCTGAGGGCTTTTAAAAAAGTATTTCCAGTATGCCATATTTTTCAGCTTCACTTTTCTGGAAAGTTGGACTATTACAATTCAGAGATTCTGTGAAGTATCCACTAAACACACTGAAAATGATAGCTGTATTAATTTGTGGTGTCTTAATTGTTAAGATAAAAAAGTAAGATCATTGTGTGGCAAAGATGTGCTCTGCAGAAACCTTATTTTCTTGTCATATTGTACACTGGCTGCTCTTCTGCTTTTAACTGTTACTATCTTACTCAGCTAGGTTTAAAGTATTGAAGTTTAGATTCCTATCAAGTTCTGGTGATTATTTTCCTTATAAAGATGTGTTAAAACAATGGTATTTTCATTTAAAACATTAATCTGTACTGTAGTTATTTCAGGTTAAACAGCATAGGTTTTATTTCAGTGTTTAAATTTTGATATCTCTGTATGTTTCTTTTCAGTTATATTTTATAATAATTTTCAATAGGTTGAAAGACTTGAAGCCAAAGTGGTTGAACCTTTGAAAGCTTATGGAGCAATTGTAAAACTGAAACGGGTAAGTAAATCAGTGGCAAAGAGTATGAGGTTTCAAACTGTCCTTTTTAAAAAAAAGTACAAAGTGACGTGTTCATTTATATATTGTGAAAGCTAATTTCTGGTTTTTAAAAATAATGAAATATTTTTAATGAGCTAATAAATATGCTATTAAAATATCCTGTGGCAGGATAAGACATTTTATTGAAATTTTAAAAATATAAAGTCATAAAAAATATATGGATACATTATTTTACTAAATGAATGTAATTTTATATATTTGTGTTTTAAAGCACTTGTACTTTATGAATGTGCCAAAGTTCTACCTTTAAAATCAACTTTATAGCCAGGGATTTAGCTCAGTAGTTCCACTGCCTGCCTTGCAAGTGCAACGACCTGAGTTCGATCCCCGGTACCAAAAAAAAAATAACAACAAAAAATAAAATCAACTTTATTTAAGTATAGTTTACATGCAATAAATCGGCCATTTTGAAGTGTTCATTGGGTTCTGACAACTGTATGTCCATATAACCACCACCACAATCAAAATTACATTTTTATGGTTGCAGTTTTACATTGAATTGTCATTATTTTGAGAATATTTTTAAAAACACACATGCTGACACATACATAGACACACATTAATTCTGCAGTACTTGTAATTCTTGTAATGGTAGCTTGCACCAAATGAGCAACTTTCTTCCATTCTTTTTTTTTTGGTACCGGGTATTGAACTCAGGACCTTGCACTTGCACAGCAGGCACCAGAACCACTGAGCTGAATCCCTGGCAAAATACTAACACACAGAACCCCTAAGATGTATTTTCTTTTTCTTTTTGGGGGGCGTTACCGGGGATTGAGCTTAGGACCTTGTGCTTGCGAGGCAGGCAGCAGAACCACTGAGCTAAATCCCTGGCCCCTTTCTTCCATTCTTAAAACACAATGTATTTTATTCTTAAATCAGAAATCTTTGACAAAAAAATGCATTTGCAGGATGATCTCAAAGCAGCGTTAACAGCAAGGAATAGAGAAGCTAAGCAGTTAACTCAGTTAGAAAGAACACGGCAACGAAACCCATCTGATCGACATGTAATTGTATCCTTTGATGTTTGGTCTTTAAAAAGTTTTGTAAGGTATGCAGACAGAAGTAAATGTATATGGAAGTTATATGTTTCTAGTTTTAAATATGTAGAGAATTTTAATATAAATGTCAAAATGAAACACCTAATTTAGGAGTTCTCACTACAAAAATTAGCTGATTGTAAGGCAATTATATCACCAAACGCAATACTGTTTTCCACAACAGACTTTACAAAAAACAAAACAATCCCCCACTCATAAATGCAGATATTTTCACAAATTCAAAATTTAGAGTTTTTTTTCACAGCGTGATGGCTATATATTAATTATAAAATTAAAGATCTATCATTAATGCTGTCAATGTCCTTTGCCCCACTTTTGAGAAAAATAATCTTTCGATAATTCCCTCCATCCTTAAATAAAACAAAACTTATGTAAAACCATAATTATGATTTTCAACCAAAGACCCTCAGGACCTTTAAGAGTATAATTAAACCCTTCACAGCTGGACACAAAGGGATCTAAACAGGAGACTACTATAACAAAGTGGTTCTGGTAAACATAGCTTTCTTAAACTACAATGTACCTTGTTCAAGACTTAAAAAAGGATATACATATATATATATATATACACACACACACACATATATATACACACACATACATATACACACACATATATGTATGTATATTAGATGCTAAGTGCCAGCAACTGGTAGGACTGTGTAGAAAATAACTCATCCCTGTTGCTTTTTTCCCATTCTTTCTTATATGTGTCTCCTTCCTACTTCCTTAAGGTAACTGCTCAACTCAACCAGAAACCACATGAGGACTGGCACATTTAGGGGCATTTGAGGTTCCAGAACACCTCCACTCCTGAGGGGAATCCCTTGAACAATGATTTGGGGCTAGGCCAATTGCCTGGTCTACCTTTGGACCAAAGGTACATAAACCCAAACTGTACTAAACAAACAGGCAGCCATAAGGCTGAGAGTGCCCATGGGAGGCAGAAACAGGTAGATGTAGTCACTTGTTGAAGCTTAAGATCTTTGTAAGAGTGTGAATTTTAAGTAAGCCAGACAAATCAGAGAATGCTGGAAATTTCATGACTGAGAACTAGAGATCAAGGCAGAGGCCAAGAAGAGATACTGATGTGTAAGAAGTCAGAGATGGGCTGGGGATGTAGGCCAGTTGGTGCAGTGCCTGCCTGGCAAGCACAAAGCCAAGTTTGACTCTGAGTACCAAACAAAACAAAGAATTAAACCAGAGACCAACACTGTTTTGTTTTGTTCCTGGTGGGAGGGCTATATGAAGGCAGGCAAAACAAAACATCTGCAATCTTGAGCAGTTGGTGACTCAATCAAGAGTACTGGTATTGACCCTCACAGAAATGACTGTATTCCCAAAACAAAAGTTTCTCTGACAGATCCTCTGTCATTACGGCTGTGAAAGAAGTCTTACAGCATAGATGAAATAGGTCTGTGGATTCAGAATTCAGGGAAATGAAACAAAATTGTTGCCACAGGTGAACTAATTTGCTCACTGGGTAAGATCTAAAAGTTGTGGATTTTGACCACCTGAGATTAGAAAATAAAGGAATGTACACACTCACTGAAGTATAAAAAATATTCAGTCATAGCATTAGAATATTTTTAACAGGATAGACTATTAAAATTCAACTGACTCTTTATTCAGAAGTATGCTGAAGGCCAATATGTAAAACAGAATGAAGTCCCAAGTGCCTCTGGTTGGAGAATCCCAGGGTTGTGCCTGGTAAACCCTGAAGACCTTGGATAACTTCTGACAGCTTCCTGTAACATGGTCTGACAAGTACCCATCCCGCTCCCCCCTTTGTAACATTTGAAATGTATACAAAAATAGAGAAAGTTGGAAATGAATATATTTGTCAAGTGTTCTTTATCTTGAAATTGTGTAGTTAACCCAGTTTTAAAAGTATATAATTCTATAGGAATGTATGATTTTAATTTATTGAAAAAGTTGTTCTATTCTCTTTGAAATGTATTTTTTCCTTTATGAAAAATTTCAGTCACAGGTGGGTAATAAAAAGTGGTGTCAAGAAATGGATCCTTATAGTAAACCTTTTTACTTATTTCAGTTTATACATGTTCTTGACAAATAAAGCAATGACTGTCACAATATCACAGGTCAAAGAACTTTGATGACAAATGCAAGTTTTTTCTCATGGTTAGTTATTAAATGATGGTGTATGAGACTTGAGCAAATATATTAGCATAAAAATCAACTGTTAGGAATAATTTAGTCAGAAAATGGGGCTGTGTTTTAAAACCTGTTACTATTTTGAGAAACATCATTTTATGATTTCTCTTTCAAAATCTCTCTTGCATTTTAAGAAAACATTTTAAATGTTTTGGAGCAACTATTATCCTGAAAAAGAGACGCTTAAAGAGAATACATGATTAAATTGGAAATGTCTGCACTTAACATTACTGTTGTCACCATATTTGGCTGTTCTTGAAATGAAACCAGAGTAACATAACAACCAGTTTTACATTTTTACTTAATTTTATGTGGCAGGTGGCCACCATATTAATTGCACAACACAAATTTACAGTGTGAGTACATGTCAGCATGTATAAAGCAAAACATTAAATTTTCCATCTAATTTACTACTAGTGTACTTTTGTAGTAAGCATAAGCCAAATAAATAGTATTTGTTGGCTTGTAAGAATCTACAAGTAGAAATCTCATTCTGAAATAATTTTTTGTAGTGTATATTCTACTCTGCTTGGATAAAATTAAAAATATTTATTGGATTTGGAAAATAATTAAAAGTAAGCAAGGTAGGAGATTTAAATTACTGTATATGTCATTAGCCTTAAGTACTGTACTTTTTTAAAAATGAGATTTTCAGTGCTGGAAATTGGTCTTTCTACTGTGTACTCTCCAAGCTCTTTACAAAGACTACTTCATTTGATCCATAAAATAATCTTATGTGATAAAGTATATCGTATTTTACAGATTGGCAATGTCTAAGAGAACTGGAAATATTTGTTAATAATAAATCTTTTCTTGTGGGGGAAAAAGTGAAAAGAAACAGAAGAAGAATAATATGATAAATAGCATAGGCAGTGAAACAAGAGGAAGCAATAGAAAACATAGGAAAGGGTTTTATGAATAATTCAGGTAATAAAATGGTTTTATAGAAACAAGAATTTTTGAGTTCATGAGTCATGTCATTTAAGAGATTTAAAATTCTTGATTCTGCATGACTTATTAGATAATTTTATATGTGGTAAATTGTAATACTGAGTAATTTACTATTATGTCAAAAAGCAAACACTGAAATTGTAGTATCTCCCGATAATTCAACTAAATGGATTCTGATTTAATTTTTTATATTCTTGGTTGGGGAATACTTTTATAGGCAGAAGCTGAATTACACATAGCTTCAACAGATGTTACCCGAACAACTCGTCATCTGGAGGAAACTATTGACAATTTTGAAAAGCAGAAAATAAAGGATATCAAGGTAATTAAATTCCTCTTAGGTTTGAAAAATATTTTCTAACCTTATTTTTATTTAAATTTATGAAAAATGTAAATCATTGATTTTTTTAAGCCCATAGTTCTTATGAAAAGATACCATAGATCAAAATATATCAGATGTTAACTGTGGAATATAAAGGGGCTATATTCTCAACCTGAGGCCAAATATTCAAGCTTATGTCACAAATATTGTTTGATCAAGGGGAACTAATATTTACTGTACTTTTACATATCAGGTGCCATCCCAGGTACTTTAGGTATTAATCTTCACAGCAATCACAAGAATGAGGTAGTTATTAAGAAACAAGCATAGCCCGGGATTTAGCTCAGTGGTTCCGCCGCCTGCCTCGCAAGCACAAGGTCCCGAGTTCGATCCCCAGTACCAAAAAAAGAAAAAGAAAAGAAACAAGCAGAGATACAATGTAATTTACCCAGAGTACCACAGCGAGAAATATTAACCAATTTTTAAAAAATCTGTTTTACATAATATCATTAATATCTATAAATCTAATATCTATTTATTTTACATATTATTATTAATATCTATAACATAAATCTTTCTAATATCTACTTATTACCACATAAGTAAGCAGGGTAATAGCCAAATATATAAATTAAATCCACCACCATAGTAAGGATTTTTAAGCAACAAAATCATGATAATTGCATTATTGTAACCCCTCAATAGGTGATTTGAAACATTTCTTAGGCTCATGGAATTCAGTAGATCCTTGGTGACTTTTATTAAATATCTTGGAAAGATCTGAACAATAGTTTATGACTATATTGTAAACTTTTAAAAATCCATCTAGGAATGTCTTTCTGGCTCGCTGAAAATTTTCCTGTAACTTTAAAAAAAAAGCTTTTGTTATTTTGCTACTATTGACAAAGAATACATCCTGCTTTCATGAGCTATGTTCTTATCAATAAAATAAGCACTATGTGCCCCTTGGTTGTATAATTCCTCCCTGAAATCCATGAAATATTCATTTGCATCTGTTATTTTAATTTCCTATCATAGTTTCAAAGAATTTCTTAACATCACCCTCTCAATTCAGTCACAGCTCTGCAGTCTGCTGTATTAACTGCAGACTGCAACTTACATTAAAGCATCTAAAGAGACTGCCTTGAGACAAATGCCTTTATCAAGCTAGGACAAGGGAAAGGCATAGAGTTCTACAATGGCTAACGTCCTCTCATTAACTTTAATCTCAAAATTGAGAATGGAGATTTGAGAGGTATGCCTAATGCCACTGCTACTACTATTCCTTAGTAATGAGAATCCAATTCCTTACTCCCCCACTGTTCTTTGTATCTGTAAAACTGTTTTAAATCTTTGGACTCACTTTTGTGTTCCACATTTGTTGGCTACGTCCTCCACAGGCATTATTAATTCCTTGAGAGTCAAGTTCAAAAATGGGACAGAGAGGGGCCCAGGATTTAGCTCAGTGGTTCCTGTGCCTGCCTCGAAAACACAAGGTCCCAAGTTTGATCCCCAGTACCAAAAAAAAAGGGGGGGACAGAGAGGGTGAGTACAGAATTCCCAGCTACAATTTGTACTACCTGAGATTTCCTGCAATAGGAGATGGAAGGACTGCAGTGTAGCTGGTGTAGAGAGCTTGCAAGCTTTCCTCCTTGCCCTTGCAGTATCATGCCCCTGAGAAAGGAAAGCCACCTGATGGTTGCACAGGGTAGGCAGTAGAAAGGAAAAAAAACCTTCACCTTTAAAACAGATACAATTCAGAGTCTACAACCCTGTGGTTTCAAATGTACTCACAGATATGTGCAAACATCACCAAGTGTAGAACATCACCAAGTATAGAACATCTTCATCACCTCAGTCTTTTACAGTTTACCTTTACCTGGCTCTGGACCCAGGCAACCACCAATCTTTGTTAACTGGACTATTCCAGACACTTCATATGAAAGGAATCATACATGCTCATTTGTAACTAGCTGCTTTCACTTAGCAGGCTTTCAAAGGCTTATCCATATTGTAGATCAGTATCATTCCATATTTTTTTCTTTTATACCCAGATAATATGGTATTAATAATGTTTTGTTTATCTAACAGCTAAGACATTTGGGTTCCGTTTTGGCTGTTAAGAGTAATGCTGATATAAACATTCATGTTCAAGTTTTTGTATGGACAAATATTTTCATTTTTCTTGTACATATAGAATTGCTGGATCATATAACTGTTTAATCATTTGTGGAATTGCCAAGCTATTCCAATGCCAGTGAACCACAGTATATGCCTTCTGAAATGTACTAAGGCTCTCATTTCTCTACATCCTCAATACTTCCTAGTCAACGGAATTAACTAGCTAAACTAGTGGGTACCAAGTAGTGTCTCACTGTGGTTCTGATTTGCATTCCCTAATGCTTTTAGGTCATTTATATTTCCCTTAAAGAATTGACTATTCAGGGCTGGGTGTGGTGGCACACGCCTGTAATCCCAGCACTCAGGAGGTAGAGGCAGGAGGATTGCTATGAGTTTGAGGCCAGCCTGAACTACAAAGTGAGACTCTGTCTCAAAAAAAGAAATGGCTATTCAGATCCTTTGTATTTTAAGTAGTAAGATACACATACCCACTTTTGAACATACAATTTCTTGTAAGTCCTTTATTAATGATTTGTCATTTTCTCCCCTTCTGTCAGTTAGCTACATGTATTTCTTGATGGTTGTCATGTGAACCACCAGTTTTTAATTTGATTAAGTCCAATTTATTTTGGTATTTCTGCTTTAGCCAGCTAGGAACCCACTGCCAAATCTGAGGTCATGATTTATTTCATCCTCATAGTTTTATAATTTCAGGTCTTATATGCCTTTGATCCATTTATATTTTGTTATGTAATAGTGAAGCTGAAGTTAAATTTCATTCTTTTCATTAGACTATTCAGTTGTCACACCATTTGTTGAAAGACCACTTTTTCCCCATTGATTGGTCTTGGAACCTTTGTTGAACATCAGTTGACATGTTTTTATTTGTGGACTTATGGATCACTGATCTGAGTCTTTTATGTAGTAGCACACTGCCTTATCATTGCTGTACGGCAAGTTTTAAAATTAGGTTGTGTGGGTCTTCCTATTTTCTTTTTTAGATTGATTTGGCTTTTCTGGATCTGTTCCAATTCTACATTAATTTTAGAATCAGCTTGTCAACTTCTACAAGTCAGCTGCAATTTGAGTAAGGATTACACTGATTCTGTAGATCATTTTAGGAAGTACTGATGTCTGAAGACTAATTCTAATATGAATATGAGATGTTTATTTATTTAAAGTTTTCATTTCTTCCTCCGCCTGCCTTGCAAGCGCAAGGTCCTGAGTTCCATCCCCAGTACCAAAAAAGAAATAGTTTCCATTACTTCACAGAATGTTTGTATTTTCAGTATGTGAAATATCTGATATGAGTGAGAAATAACTAAATTTTTGATGGCTTCATTTTATTATAGTATCACAACTTTTAAATAAAATCAGAAAAAAATATACAAGTATCACCGTTGTTATCATTTTTGTTTGTATCCCTCCAGACTTTTTCCTATGCACATATGTAAGAAATACGGTAATAATAATGACAGAAATCTCAAGCACTAAGTTCTAGGTACTATTTTAGGGATTTTATATAGATAAACTCGTTTAGTCTTTATAGCATCTTTGTGAAAAAGGCATGCAGTTTTAAATAAACACAATACTATATATAGCATCTTTTTAAAATTTAATATATCAGAGACATATTCACATTAAGAAATAAGAGATCCAGCCGTACCTGCCTTGCAAGCTCAAGTTCCTGAGTTCAATCCCTGGTACCCACACACACAACACACAAAGAGAGATCCAGTAATATTTTTTGCTTATCTTCATGGTATTTTACAATATGCAAATTAGTTTAGCCAATCTTAATTGTTAGGCATCTGGATTGAAAAATAATCTATCACTAAACATCCTTAAATAATTCCTTTTGTGCTGGACTAGTTATTTTCTTGGAATAAGTTGCAAGAAATGGAGTTTCAGGTTCAAAGAACATACAAACTTTCAATTGCAATACCCATTATTAAGACTTCTGTCCTACCAGACCTTGCATGAGCACAAGTACAGCAATGACTAGCAATATTTTTAGTAATAGCCAATTTTCTAGGTAACAAACCAGTATTCTCATAATTGGGCCAGATAATCTTTCCGTATCTGTAATACCTTATTTCTTTAGCCCACATTTCTATTGAATACTGATATTTTTAATTTATAACAATTCTTTATATTGAGAAAAATCCTTTAAAGAGATGAGTTATAAATGTATTTATCATTTTATTGCTTTAAGCTTTGTTTTTGCTGCCAAGTCTGTTTCTCTTAGTTTCTGCCTTGGGGTCTTGCTTACAAAGAGTTTATCCCCAAAATTATATAAATACATGCTTATGTCTTCTCACCGTATTTGTATGATTTTTTAAAATATAGTGTAAACTTTTACATTTTTTATCTGGTGACTTGCATGTGATATGAGGTAGATACACAACTTTATTCTTCTCAAATGGAAATTCTACTGACATCCTTTATTTAATAGCTTCTACTCTGGTAAGCTGTCATTTCCTCTCACTCACTGTTATAACCTCTTTAAGTATCCTGCTTACCAATCTACTCCATAGAGGTTTTAATATGAGTGGATAAAGAACATTTTCTAATTTGGCTGTTTTACTTCTTGAGCACTAAAAACAAGTGGCTTGAGGGCCGGGGATTTAGCTCAGTGGTTTCGCCGTCTGCTGCACAAGTGCAAGGACCCGAGTTCAATCCCCGGTACCAAAAAAACCACAGAAAACAAGTGGCTTGTCCCAAAAGAACCACAAAAAACAAGTGGCTTGTCCCTGACTCCTAGTTCTATTTTCCCTCTAGGACTTCGTTCACTCTTAAAGGGTATTTTAACTCCTTTCTAGTTAGTAACTATCTCATAGGAAACTAATAACTAACAAAGTAAATACCAGCTCTGGCCTGAAGCCATTCTACCTCCAAGGTATCCTTACGTATGTGGAAATTCTTAATCTATATATTTTTTTCAGTACCAAGGATCAAACTCAGGACCTTGCACTTGCAAGGCAGGCAGGGTGCCACTAAGCTAAATCCCCAGCCCTGGAAATTCTTAATATAAACCCCAAATCCTATCATAGCAGAATGCTGTTTTAATAGTTGCCGGTCCAGTACAACAGGGCCCTCTATCACCTTTCTAAATCAACAGTAAGTGATCACTGGTGGTTACATGTTTCTCATCCCAGAGTACACTCTTCTGTAACATCCATCCGAGTTACTAAAATACTAGCTTCAGAACTCAACTAGAATACATATGAACATGTGGTATGTGAGTACACAAGAGCAAACATTTTAGTCAGATTTCTTTATTGCTAGTGTCAATTACCAGGTTCAAAGAACTAAAAAAGAGGGAAGTGAATGGTGATGATACAGGAGATACTTTGTATGTTTTAAAAGTTTTGCTGCAAAAGATCTTGTAGAAAAACAGATACTTTAACATTTCACAAAATGTTCTGACTGCGCTGGGGAATAAACTTACTAAATTCATAAAACAATTTATATGTCTATATTCAAATCTGTTTTTTTAGAATATATTTTCAGAATTTATCACAATCGAAATGTTATTTCATGGCAAAGCTTTAGAAGTCTACACTGCTGCCTACCAAAATATACAAAAGATTGATGAGGATGAAGATTTAGAGGTAAGACTAAGCACAATTCTTCTATTAGTATAGAAACATTTAAAAGAGAGCATTAATAAAGATAAAAATATCTTAGATACTACAGTGGTTTGTTATTGTGCAGTACCAAATACCTGAATTTTTGTGATTATTCCTTTACTTTAAAAAATTTTTCAAACCATAAAAGTCCCAAGAGCTAATTATTTACAGCTAGAAAAATATAATCTACACAAAGACGTTACATGAAAAAATAGTGTTATCATTTTGACTGGTGATATAACCCCACTAAGGGTGAACTAAAAATAATAACCATTTATTGATTTAAACGTGAGTGTTCATGCCATCCACAATGCCCAAAGCTTTCCATGCATTCTTAATCTTCACAGGAACTTTTGAGGGTGGGTGCTAGTGTTCTTTTAGAAAAGAAACAGGTTTAGCTAGTTAATACCAGAATAAGGATTCCAACTGGTATAACTTGATTATTAAGTTATAAAATAAATGTAGGTTTATGCAGGCTTTCTTTGTAAATAGGTGTGTAAGGATTGTAGGTGGGTTTATAGGTTTATGTAGATTAAATGCAAGTAAATGTAGGTTTAGTTAAATGCAAATATAGGATTATGTAGGCTTGTTTTGTACTAAGAAGTAAAATGCAGATAAGTTAATGCAATTAAGTATCAAAGCCTGGTTTTCATTAAACCCATCTGAAGTTAATGTCCTATCCTTCTTAATTTTCTGAAAGAAAAGGGTAGTACCCAAGTATTTTTGTTAAAATATTCTGTCCATATATTATCTTTAATGTAAAAGTTTAAAAAGCTGTGTACTCCCCCAAGTTACAACTAGAATTCTATGATAGAATTTGAGCCCAGCATGGTGGTGTTCACTTGTAATACTGTACCAGCACCCTGGGAGGCTGTGGCAGAATTGCAAATGTGATCCTAGCCTAGGCAATTTTGGGAAACCTATTAGGGAGACCTTAATTTATTTAAAAAAAAAAAAAAAAAGCAAGTTCAAAGGCCCTGAGTTCAGCCAGCAGTATTGCACTGAAATTTTTTTTTAAATAATAAAAAAGATTTTGGGAGCATCTGCCATTTGACAATTTTGAAGATTCCCCCAATATTCTTCTGCTTCTTCTAACTACTGACAAAGAAATCTTCTGAGCCTTTTTGTCCCAATATTCCCCTGGTTCCTTGGAAACTTAAGCTGGAACCTAGCTGAACTTAAATACCATAGAGCTAACGTCTTAGTTTGTGTATGTTTTGTGCCAAATTCTGATTTTAGTTTTGTCAGTTATATATATATATATATATATATATATATATATACACACACATATATATTTTCTGTTTGTCAACAGATGGCCGTCACCTGCAAATACTAAAAGCTAAGGTTCTTAATTTCACTCATTTTCATATTCTGTATATAAAAATAATTATCAAGCTTTAATCTGACATTTGCAAAATAAAAATGGCAAATGTTTACATAGTGCTTATTGTGGGCTGATCTAGGCATTTTAACCATGCTATTTAATCCTCACAGCAGCTTTAAGTGCTTATTGTCATTATTTCTATGGACGAGAAAACCAAGGATAATAAAGTTAAATTTCCCAGAGGTCCCATAGCTTCTTAAATAGCAGAGCTGGGAGTCACATTCTGACATAGGACTACAATGATTTTAATCCTTTCTATGTGAGATCACCAGAAATATGGTCCTAGATAAGTGACTCAGCAGGTTCAAAAGTGGTACCTTACTTGTCCTCCAAGACTGGAGTCTCCTCCAGGCATGGTGGCGCATGCTAATAATTTCAGCACTTGGGAGGCTAAGGCAGGAGGCTTGCCGTGGGTTTGAGGCCAGCCTGTTCATAGCAAGACCCTGTCTCAAAAGAAAAAAAAAAGACTGGAGTCTTCTTTAAAAGCATTTTGTCTCATTTTACTAACACCCTTGATAGGCCATTTGTTAACTGCTGCTAAAGATCCTTCAAGATTTTTGGTCCCTAAGATTTTTCTTATCTAGAGGCCCTACATATCCTTTTTGTCATACTATTTCTTTTACAACTTCTCTTCACCATCTGTCTCAATCAGCAAGGTAGGTACTTTGCGGGAGGTCAGATCCATGAAAAGCTGAAAGGTCTCAGGGCTGTATGGTATACATTTTTGAACACCAACTTATCTAATGGATTACTACTGAGCAAGTTACAGTTCAGCCTCCTAAAATGGAGGTCATGGTACTTTCCTCATAAGGTGTTTGCTTAATAGCTATTTACTGACCACTTATGATGTGCCAGGCACCATTCTAAGTGCTGAGAATTTACTATTGTAAGTGAGATGCTCAAAGTTGTTGGGGCAAACATTTAAAATCTACCAGGGAGTTCAGACATTTAAAAATAAATATCGTGTGCCTACTTAAGATTTATACCACCAGCCCTATTTAAAAAAAAAAAAAAGCTGGAAACAATGAGGATGCCTGGCAAAAACTTTCAGGCACAGAGCATACTGTTGTGCATAAAAAGAGCAATGTATTTTATTTTATTATTTTTTTTGTACCATGGATTGAACTCGGGTCCTTGTTTGCTTGCAAGGCAAGTGGCGGAACCACTGAGCTAAATCCCTGGCCCAAGCAATGTATTTTAAATAGCATAATGCAGGGCACAAACACTTTTTCAGTAAACCACAGGCATCCAGCAATTGAGAGCAGAGCAGACTACAGTGGTGAAACCAAGGAAAATAAAATTATATCCAGTAGGTGTCAAGAGGAAGGATATGGTGAATAGTTTCTTGGAAACAAGTGGAGAAAATATGTGGAGACAGCGAGAACTTGCTATCCTTCCAGTATTTATTCCAGCGACAGCCAGCTTTTTGCAAGGCATTCTAGTTACATTACAAACCATCTTACCTTATTTGTTCTTCACATAAAAAGTACTGTCAGACCCGTTTTCCCCTTCAAAAATCACTTCTGTGCAATCATTTCAGAAAATATTCTGATCTTGACATTCACTCCTAGGAGAGATCTTGGATCATGTTGGAAAAAAATGCATTATTGCCAATAAATTAATCTTTCTGCAAATCTGTTTTGCAGTAAGAGGTTGATTTTAAATTTAACTTTTTCTTCCAAAGAGTTCCATATTGCCTACTTTCTTATTTCACCTTTATTAGAAAAGCTTAAAAAGGACTGTTGAAACAAAAATATATCCCCTCAAAATACCAGTTCAATTCCTAAGTTAGGTATGATTATATCATGTTCTAAGTCTAGTGTCAAAATAGGATTGGGTCCTCAGTAAACTGCTGAGTTTATCAAATTGTCCTAAAACACAAGTTTCACCCTACATGTCATCCTTGATTCCTTTTATGTCCTATAGGTATCAAGATTTAAACCAATTTGTAGGTCTCTCCTTCCCCACAACATGGAGATTTCAGGTTAACATCATTCTTTGGACAAAAGTGATTTTAATTAACACCTTGTTGGGAAGAGTTGCAAAGATAAAACAGGGCTCCTTGTATTAGAGAAAGAGAAGACTAGTGTAAAATACATTTAATTAAAAAGTGGTAAAACTACTATACTTGCAGGCAATAGGAACTACTGACTATAGAACAGGGAAAATGAAAAACAGCATTTGACTTGGTAAGTTTGCTAGGATCTCAGGCTGAGGACTCTGCATTGGTATAGTATACTCTATGTTCGGTGTACAGGTATGCAGGGTAGAAGGGTGGTAGGTAAGTCTGGGTGATCTTAAGCCTTGAATGTCACCTAAACCATTTGGACTCTAGTAGCCACAAGTTTGTTTTTTTTAATAGAGAAATATTTTGCTCTTTAGAAAGCTATAAAAAGCTATCTAGTCAATAAAACGGAAGTAACTCAGGTTAAGAAATTTTGGGAGAATGTGCAGGCTTACAGCTTTGTGTAAGATATAAAATTAAATCTGTTACTGCACTGTCCAATATAATGGCCACATAGCTACTAGGTATATGTAATTATTTAAGGTTATATTAACTTATTTAAAATTAAAACATCAGCGGGCTGGGGATTTAGCTCAGTGGTTCCGGTGCCTGCCCCACAAGCGCAAGGACCTGAGTTCGATCCCCGGTACCAAAAAAAAAAAAATTGAAACATCAGTTACAGCTACATGAATCACCACAAGTATTAAGTAGCCACATGTGACCACAGCTACCATATGCACAGAACATGAAAGTTCTGTTCCGTGCTGGTTTAGAACAGAAAGAAGTTGGATCCATGAACATGGCTGTCAGAACAAAGTATGTGGAGCATACAGAGTATTGATTAGTTGAAGATTAGGCATTAAAACACTATAGATAAGATCTGTCAGAGAAACAGATTTTTTTTTTTTTTAAAAAGTGGCCTAAGAGAAACCCTTAAAAATATTTCAGGTATAGACAGGTGTGATGGTGCCTGCCTGTAATACCAGCACTCGAGAGGCTAAGGCAGGAGGATTGCTGCAAATTCAAAACCAACCTAGGCTACATAGTTCAAGTCTGAACTCTAGTAGTTCAGTCTGAACCACATAATGAGACCATCTCAAAAAACAAACATTGGGCCAGGGATTTAGCTCAGTGGCTCCAGCGCCTGCCTTGCAAGTACAAGGTCCCGAGTTCGATTCCTGGTACCAAAACAAACAAAAATTCAAGTGTCAACAGTAGAAAAACAGATATGAAGAAACAGGCTAGTCAGCAATACAATAGTTTAGTGATTGCATAAGAAATAAAAGGTTTCAGAATGTAGTCAGGGAAAATGAAAACAAAGATTTTATTGATTTTGGCGAGAGCAATTTTAGTGCAAGGTGAAAGCCCAATTGTATTTTGTTGAAAAATTAATTAGAATATGAGAATTTTTTAAAAAGTTATACCTTGGAATAATTTTAAAGACTGATCTTGAGCTTGTTTTTCTAGAAGGAACCTGTGGAAAATGAAAGTTTTATTATACGTTTGAAGTTTTAGAGGTAAAATGCACATTGGAAAAAATCAGAATGATACCTGCATTTTTAAAAAAGGGATGGGATGAAGAGTTTGAGGAAAAAGAGGGAAGTTCAAATAAATTCAAACCTAATAACCTTTATTAGTCAAAATGGTACAGAAATAGAAAAGATAGATATAGGAAGGCTTTAAACAATGCTAAGACTGGAAAATACTGCTGTAAGGAAAAAGAACTGGCACATCTTGGGATTCCAGATCCTAATGAAGTTGGGATCCATAAATTATAGTGGCTCCAATTTATCTTGCGCAATTTTCCATCTCTAAGTTGAAATTACTTTTGTACTTTTCTCCTTTTCAATTTATAATAATTGGACTTTTGTCCTTTTGGAGGGTTTAAAAATTTTTAACCAACACTAACTTTTTTTGGCTATACAGATTTTCCTTCAATATCTACTTGTAATTTTTTTTATCTTTGCAATAGGTTTTCCGAAATTCTCTGTATCCACTAGATTATCCATCTCGTTTAGATATTGTAAAAGCAAATTCAAAGTCACCTCTTCAGAGATCACTGTCAGCTAAGGGTGTATCTGGAACAGGACAGGTGAGCTGAAAATCATAAAGGAATTTAAGCTGCTGCTTTTGGAATTATTCAGTACAATTAAAAATGTTCCTCTTCAGTCATAGGCTGTCATGTAATTTACACTCTAGGCCTTTTTCCTCTTCTGTAACATGAAAAGCTGCACTTCATCATTTTTATCTTTTATGCCATAATCACACACTATTGCCTTAAACAGAACACTTGAAGTGAAAAAGACAGAATGCTAATGTAGATTTGTTGTCTGGTAAATGAAAGAGCAGATTTTGAAGTCAAACAATTAGTTACGAATATTACTATCTTAGAGGATCTCTCCAGAAATTACACCTAAAACTCGCTTTTATTTTACACTGTCATGGATCTAGGAGCACGGCTCTTTAGGGATAATTTTCTCATTTCTTCTATATTGAGAAAGCCTGAGGCAGGCGTGCTAAACTCTAACCTAGAGATGTATATGCCCTTTTCATATCTAGCCTTCAGAATTTACACAAAATTATCAAAACATAATTTTTAGGTAAATTTGACTTAACATTTCCTATTTGATTCTCTTCTAAGCATTCATTTCTGCTTTATAATTATGCATCTCTTCCCCCTAATCAATTTTATTATTTTAGCATTAACTGCTTAACAAAATGTTAACTAAGTTAGCTAACATTTGTATACCACTTGAGAATAAATTATCCTAGGGTTTTTCAACTTCAGTTCTATTGAATTGGGACCAGGTCCCTGGGGAAGGGGAGTGTGCTGTCCTCTGCAGCACTGAGCGGCATCCCTAGCTTCCACCCCCAAGATGCCAGTAGCACACATACACTTGTCTTGTGACAACCACTAGTGCTTCCAGACAGTGAAAGAGTACACCTTAGAAAGGGGAGTTGTATTCTTAGGTTTTAACCAAGATGCTCCAAGTGCACAGGACAGAAACTCATTCCTTTTAAAGCAGACTATGTCAGTATTTCTGTTCTACTGCTTAGGTGAAATAACCTTCTCCTTTTGCCATCCAATGATTCTCATTCAAATAGTTTTTGCAACTAAAAATTCAACATTTTATCATTCATAATATACTGAGACTGTTATTTTATGTTACTGAAGTACTGGTAGCTAGCTAACTGGAATCACATGTTTAATTTTACATATATGATAAATGAATGAAAAAAACTGAGACGTCTGCAACCTTAAATAATCCATAGGGAATTTTCATTACTAAAAATTATGTATGGACATTTTTCTGAGATATTTGTTCTATGTTCCTTTTCCTATAAGGATATAAAAAAGATACCAAGCATGTAAAAATATTTTTAAGGTAGTACTTTTATTTTTAAAAATGTGTTAATTTTTAACAGATATCTACCTGTCGAATAAGAAAGGATCAACATGCAGAAGATGATGAAGATGAAGAGGTAGACTTTACAGAAGAAGAAAATTAATTTTAAGTTAATTTCCACATGTCCATTTTCATCTTTAAATGACTTGGAAACTTTATACTCACTTGATAAGGAAAACCTCAAAACAAAATCCCACCATAAATGTAAAAATAAAGGAAATTTATGCTGACCAAAAATTAAGGTTTAAAAAAATTACATTTCAACATCCTTTCTAATGGTATATGATTTTTTTATGTATGTTCCATTTTTAAAAAAAAAAAGAATTATATATTTCAAAGCTTTTCATAATGCACTAAGTTGAGTTGCAATAAGAAGGTAACTAAAAACAAAAGGTTTAGTAAGTTCTCTTAACTTTTTTGACATTAAGACTCTACATTTTCAACACCAGAAAAGGTCTGATTGCATACAAATTCTATTCCATGAATATTTTTTCTTTTATACTTTATATTAAAAGCTTACTATTTCATTTGATATATAAATTTACTGTTTTCAACAAGTGTATTCAAATAAAGTAAATGAGGCATTATATCAGATTTTATAAATCTACAGAAGGCTTAAAAATTTCAAGCTTTAAAAAGCCACATTCAACTTGATTCTAGTTTTAAAACAAAAATGCTGCATACTAAATCATATAGTACTGCAAATTGGAAAGCTAGTAATTTGTTGGAATGTTGCCTCATTAGGAAACAATAAATCATTAAAAATAAAAATTTGGCCATAATAGAGTATAGCCACTCTTACTCCTAATCATATAAAACAATTTAGTCAACACCTTTCAGTGTATCTAATATTTTTGTTTCTTTGGTGAAGAATACTTCTGTGACTTCATGGAAAAACTAAAATTTATAGTCATTTGGGATAACAGGAAAAAGCAGTTACTACATTCACAACAGAAAAATAAAGACTTTCTAGAAAGTGTTTTTGACTTATCATTCACGGTTCTGTTTTTAACAAAGTACTGCTTTCCTGAGAAGAGTGCTGATAATTTTATAAAATACTCAAACTTTTTAAAACCTGAATAAACTGCCATTTTTAAGAAATTGGTTTTTATTTTCTCAGTATTTAAATCTGGTGTTGAATTTCAGAAGAAAAATGTAACTTCTCATAAGCAGCATCTGTAAAACAGTACCTAATTCATAAATCAATAGATAATTGGGCCCAGGGATTTAGCTCAGTGGTTTCGCTGCCTGCTCTGCAGGCACAAGGACCCGTGTTCAAACCCCAGTACCAAAAAAAAAAAAAGATAATTATGGAATGAAATATGCTTTTCCTACCGCAAAGAAATATCCTAAGATCAAAAGGAACACTATCAATAAGAATATTTTCATCAATATAAAATTTTCATTATTTAGAACAGACCATATTTACTTAAAGGGCCAGATGATAAATTTTCTACACTTTGTAGCCCAGGAAGGACAATCAAGGTTATAATATGGGTACTTATGCAACCACTTAAGATGTTATCACATTTTAAAACATGAAAACCATTCTTAGTTTCCCTGATGAAAAAAAAACAAAACAGGCAACTAACCCAACAGGTCACTTAGCCTGTGTTATCTCCATCTCTTATCTCCAAAATAGGAATAAATTAGGGTTATCAACATTAACTGATAATTCATATTTCAGACCCTAAATATAAATGTATCTAATACAACTTAATAATATTTAAAACAGGCAACAAGGTAATAGTTTTAGAGATACTGCTTTTAATGTTCTCCATAAACTGATAGAATTTACTCCTTTAACCTAGTTATCTCTTGATTATGGGATTAAGTTTATTTTCTACACATTATCTAATATTTTTCAGATATCTTCTAGACAAAAATGTTTGACTTTATGACAAAATGCCACTGGGCATGGAGCTAAAGAACCAGTACACTTCCGCATCTGCAAGTACAAGTAAAACAGTTATTTAAGCTAGATGACAAGCACATGAGGATTTAGTACACTTTCTCTTTTATGTGTTTAAAACTTGTGTTTGCTGGTAAACTGATTGAGCTGATGAAGGGAGGGGAATGCCCTACTGTGCTGCATTTAACAATTTACATGATGTACATACTCCCACCATGACCAACTTATCAACATCACAGGAGTTGTTGGAAAGACATACAAAACTGGCCTCCAACCAGTAGAAGCCAGTTTTTGTGATAAAGATAAAAAAATATTAAGTCCTAATATATTTTGGAATATTCATGTCATTTCATTTTAAAATCAAAACAGAGAGCTTGTGTTTACCATAGATGGCCTCTTATCTATTGCACCTCACTCACTTGAGAAGCAATTACTCCCTTTAAGTGATCTATTACTTTAAGCTTCATCTTATCTTTATTGCCATGTACTGGATCTGAGATGTGTTTTTTGTCTTCCATCCATATCTCAAAGTTCAATCAAATGAACCATCTCCCTACAAATACCATTTCTCACTAACTTGCCACCCCACTTTAGCCCACCCTATATTCTTTTTTTTTTTTTGGTACCGGGGATCGAACTTGGATCCTTGCGCCTGCACAGCAGGCGGCGAAACCACTGAGCTAAATCCCCGACCCCACCCTATATTCTCTAGAATACAGTGTATTTTTATTTTTCCTATTTTATTTTTAAGTTTTTACTCTGCTCAAACTTGCTGTGCAGCACCAATTTCTCCCTTACTCTACCCTCTTTAATTTTTCCTACCTAAAGTAAATGTGAAACAACTATATTCCAAAGCTTATCATTCTCCAACTTAAAAGTTTACTATTTTAAAGAGCCATACTGAGGTGCTTTTTAGAACCAAATATACCAATTTACTCCTACTAGTTAAGCAGGATACTGACTAAAAAAATAAAATAAATTTAAGTAGGCTTCTCTTAGATTTCTTTAAATCACTAAAAGATATTTACAGGTATTAAGTACAAAGTATTTTACTTCAGCAATCTCCTGTTACTAAATGACTGAATTACCAAATATAAATTCAATTTTAAGCTAGACATGGTAGTACAAACCTATAACCCCAGTACTCTGGGAGGCTGAGGCAGAAGGATCACAGATTTGAGTACAGCCTAAGCAATTTAGCAAGACCCCATTCTCAAAAAGAAATTCAGCTTTACTCTTATTTACTCAATGTGGGAAATCTCTGGATCAAAGAATTGAGGAAAAAAATATGCTCTATACAAACTATATAAACAGCCAAAGTCAAATGTTGGATAAAATGAACAACTCTGAATTAGAGGCCAGTATCTAATGTATCCCAAGAGAAATGTTGGCTATATAAAAAGTCGCTTTTTCTTTTAACAATGTTTGAGCAGCCTATCTTTTTGAAGTGATAGATTCAAAGTGAGAATAAAGGTAAGAAAATATAATTTACCCTTGAATATATTTTTAGCACGGTCTTAATTGAAAACACTTTTAATAAAGTGAGGCAGCAGAAGTATTAACAGCATGAACAGGAGTCAGTGGACTGTTGGGTTGAAATTTCCTCCATAACTGACTGAAGGCAAGTTGCTTCACCTCTCTAACTTCATTATCTCACTTGTAGAATAGAATAAGTCCTTTACTGCTTAGCAAATACTGAGATCATGCATATGAAGCACTTATAATGCCTAGCACATAGTGCCTCATTTCAGTAAATGTGAGCCACTCACATGACTGCATAAAGTCTAATCCAGTATTTGCAGAATATTATTAAATATTGAATATCACTGAAATAAAAATTCAACCTCACAAGTCTTATACTTCATATCTGAATAAGTTTCAATGCTAAAATCTCATAAGAACCTAATAATAAAAATACAAGTTATAAGATTCATCAGTAAACTCCTCCTAGAAAAACAAACTATATATCCATTTGTCACATTCTTCCCAGCATAAGCCTGTCTCCCCTCACCCATAATTGCATTGTTTTGAAAATTTTGTTAATCTAGTTACTAAAATGTTGAAGATTCCATACAACTACACATTATGACAGCATAGTCCCTCCCATCATAAATTTAATGTATTGTTGAAAAACTTAATACCCAGCTGCAATTTTTCTTTTTATACAAATACAAGTTAATTAGTCTATTGAGTTGCAATTTTTTATTTTTATAAAATTTTGCAAAGTTATGAACATGGAAACTAAGAATTTCCTAAGCTTTTTACATAAGTAAATTTCAAAGTTCACAGTTTGCCCATTATGACTATTTATAATTAACAGATCTTAACACAGTAATATCTCAGACAAGAGGGCATTAATTCTGCAAGCAGATAGCAATGAAAATGCCAAACCTGAACAATCGGCCACTGACCATTTTCTCATACAGTTTGAATAAAAAGCATTGACTACAGAAATAAAAATGAATATAAAATGTATCTTCCCCATATACAACTCTGTAAGTTTTTGAGGTTTACCCTTAACAGGAACAAAAATTAAGGAACTCAGAATTAGCTCCCACTACCGTAGCAAAGAAAAATACAACATATATAATTTTAAATTAGGTAAAAAAAAAAAAAAATGAATGGCAATCTGCAAGCAAAAGAAAACCAAATTCACACTCTATTTACAGTTTTCTATTCACAGGTCAAAATAAATGTTTAAAAAATAACACTTTTAAAAATGCATTTTACTGCATCAATACTGTGGGATGGTAACTGAATTTAGAAATGCTCTCTAAAGCAAAATTAGCTTAACCTTCCTCGGACCAACTGGCCTATCATTAAGATCTTTAATAGCAGCCATAGCTTCATTATAGTTGATCATAGCAACAATGGCTTCCCCTGTAGGTAAACCTTGCTCATTATACTGTATTGAAACTGAATCAGGTATGATTCTGTAACCATGGAAGAAGTCTAAAATTTCATTTACATTTGCCTTAAATGGAAGATTCATTATCTTAACAGGAGTTACTCTACCTGAACTACAGTTTAATTTGGGATCAGGCATAAATCTACCCTCAGGAAAACCTCCCATATTACGCTTTCCAAAATCAAACTTGCCACCTTCTGGGCGACCAAAATTCACGAAAGGGCGATGACTTCTAAAATCCTCAGGTGGATTCCTAGAATCCTCACCAGGTCTGAAATCAGGAAGTCTAGGGTCTTCCTCTGGAACTTCCCTAAGGTCTTCCTCAGGGAGCTGCCTGAAGTCCTCATCAGAAGGGCATCTAAAATCTTCTTCCTGGGGGCTCCTGAAGTCCTCATCAGGAAGGTGCCTGAAGTCTTCATCCGGAGGGCCCCTGAAGTCTTCATCCGGAGGGCCCCTGAAGTCTTCATCAGGCATATGCCTGAAATCATCCTCTCGGGAACGCCTGAAATGTTCCTGGGGTGGTCGCCGGAAATGCTCCTGGGGTGGTCGCCGGAAGTGTTCCTGGGGTGGCCGTCTGAAATGCTCTGGGGGTGGCTGCCTGAAATGTTCTGGAGGCGGCCTTCTGAGGTGCTCCGATGGTGGTCGCCGGAAGTGATCCTGGGGCAGCCGTCTTATATGCTCCATGGGTGACCGCCTGAAATCATCTTCAGGGGAATGCCTGAAATCCTCCTGGGTGGGCTTCCTAAAGTCTTCTTCCCTAGGATGCCTGAAGTCATCATCTGGAGGGCACCTGAAGTCCTCCTTCCAAGGACGCCTGAAATCCTCCTCTGGTGGCCGTCTGAAATCTCCCTCAAGGGACCTCCTAAAGTCCTCCTCAGGGGGCTGCCTGAAATCCTCCTCCAGTGGCCACCTCCAGTCCTCAAGAGGCCGTCTCCAGTCATCCTCCCGAGGGCGCCTGAAGTCTTCTTCAGGAGGCCGTCTGAAGTGCTTCTCCCGAGGGTGCCTAAAGATCTCTGGGGATCTCCTGAAGTCCTCCGGAGAGAACCTGAAGTCCTCTGGAGAGTGCCGGAAGTCTTCTGGAGGGCGTCTATCAGGCTGTCGGAAATATCCCTGGGGATGCTTGAAGTTATCCTGTTGCCTCAAATCCTCTAGCTCATATCTAAGGTTTTCAGAAGGCCCAACTGAGTAAACTGATAGGTCTTTTGAATCAAATAAATGGGAATGATCATCTCTGTCACGTGACTGTGAACGGGCTTGCATTTTCTCAGTAGACATCAAGGGGAAATTTACACCAAATTCCTGTATCTGTGCCTCAGATATAAGTCTTAATAATACCTCTGTTCCTAAGAATCTTCGTCGGTTTAAACGTTCAGCTTTCATGGCCTGTTCTTCAGATTTAAATTTCACCAATGCTTCTCCCAGACCAACTCCTTTGTCATCATAAAGCAGGTAAATGTCATCCTCAGCAAGAGAAAAGTCTGCAAAGAATTTCTGCACTTCAACTTTTGTAACATCAAATGGAAAATTTCTTATATATATGCACAGCTTCTGGCCAGAGTATCCTTCTTGAGAGTATTTTTGTGAAACATGTCCAGATCTCTCTTTGTCTATTGACCCCCCCGGTCTCTTCTTTTCATAACATTCAATGAACTTCAGCATCTGTTTTTTAGAAACTGGATCAATATGAATTGGACGATGTTGTAAAACAGTCTTATGGAAACCCAGAGCAGTATTATAGTCTTTCAGAGTCTTGAAAGTCACAAAGGCATATCTTGTTCTTTTTTCATCTTTATATAGGAACCTAATCTGTTCATTAGTCAGATCAATATCTCTAAAGAAATTTCTTAAATCTCTTTTGCTAACATTTAAGGACAGATTTTTTAAGTGAACATAAAATCCAACAGGGGAACGAGAACGTGTTCTTCTGGGAGATTTTGAATGAGTCCGTTTACGAAAATGTCTATCATTAAGTCCTCTTGGAGGAGAATGTTCTTCAGCTCTCATAGGAATTTCACCCTTTTTAACCGCATCTCCACCACACTCAATCCACTGTTGTTCCGAGCCCTGCATTACTTCTATAAATCTTGAACCCATAAAACTTCTATGACATTTAAGACCTCCTGAAGCATCAATACATGAAGCAAATTTTACTATGGCATCACCATTATTTCGGCCATCATGATGTTTTAGGAAAATTACTCCATCCACACACAAACCAGAAAAAAAGACACGTACATCATCTTCATTTACTAAGTAAGGCAAACCTCGTAGAAATAAATAAGGATTCTCGGCCTTCGATGGCCTTGTCTTTCTTGGCCTTAAATCATCAAGACCTGTACCATTAGTATGAAACCCAGCATCTTGGTTAACTGAAGAGCCATATCCAGAATTATTTTCATCTTCTTTCATGGCCTCAATATAATTAGATAGGCTGCCAACCCCTGATGCCCCAGATCCGGGTCGCCCTCTTCCTATACGATCAATTCTTTTCATTTCTATAGTCTTCTGCATTTCTGCCTTGCTACTAAGAAAGAGCTCTACAGATGAATCCTTGATAAACCCTCCTGAGCGACTTATGGCACGTCTTGCATCTTCATCTGTTGCAAAAATAATAAAAGCCTCCCCAATATCCCCTCCAATTATATGCACTCCTCCATCAGGAATAGTCAATCCCGTGAAGAAGTGACGAATATCCACAGGCCCCGCAATAAAAGGAAGCCCCAGTAAACGGATGACTACAGCCATGCTGAGCTCAAACCACAGCAATAATGACCTGCAGACAAAAAGGTACACATAATAGCAAGTCTTATTTTTGAAGTACCTTAGCCCAAACTAAGCTTAATAATTATCTGGTTCCTGCTTCCTTCTGCATTTATAAATGAAAACAAGATACAAATTCACAAAAATAGTGATCTTATCTATAAAGAAAACAAAGAATAAGCTTTCTCCCATCTAAATATACAAATAAACCAACTACCCTGAAAAAATTTCATATCACCCATTGTATACAATAAAGAACATCAAAAATATCAACTCTTCCTTTGGTAATCTGCCAAATGCTTCTTCACAACAAGACCAAACTACTTTCAGACTCATTTAGAACATGTATCTTACTGAAATATAAGTGAGATTAAAGTCTTTTACCAACCACAGTTAAATTTACAAATTTAGAAAAGCCATCTATGGTCAGTATATCATTTCTGCTCATGATATTAAGTTGCCTACCACTAGTGCATCGCTGGCCAGACATAAAGGACAAAAGCCATGAGTACCAGGATATACTAATCCATATGATTTTCGTCAAGCCTCTGTGAAAAGCCTTAAGCTCTGGATGTCTTACCTTTTCTTTTTATTTCTTGGAGACCTGTTAATTCTGTAAAAGCAACTTAACTGTGGAAAGAAAATGAAATATAATTAATCTTTGAACCCTGTAATTATCTCAATACTCGATTAGGATATTCATTTCAGAATTACCTATCAAAAATGAAGCAACTTAAGATCCACAATTATGGACATTACAAAATAGTCTTCTTCGTTCCAAGAGGAAATTCATTATCCTTTTGCAAAAAGGAAGTACAAAATCCAAGTAGACATCTGCAAAGTATTAAAAAATTTTAAAAGTGCTGAAATGATACTACTCCTTTATTGGAAGTAGCATGAAGAAAGGCCTAGGGGAAATGTAACGCACTCTGAGTTCTGTTGTGGTACATAAATGGGTGCATAAATTTATCAAAGCTCATTGAATTCTCTTTAAGGTCTATGCATTTTTGCATATATACAGAAGTTTTATATCCACTTAAAAAAAGTTCAATTAAATATCCACTTAAAAACACCAAGAACATATTTAAAACAAAAAAAGACCTTCATCACTTCCTTCTTACAAAATCCATACAGCTAGTTCATATTTACATCCAACTCTCTAGCCAGTTTCCTCCTTTTCAAAATATAAGACCATATCATATTAACAAAGCAACCGCTCAAAATGACATGAAAACATCAAAGCCTGAAATTCCAATACATAAAAATTCTAATTTTTAAAGCAATAAATCCAAGCCAATGGCTACCATTTGGATTCAATTTTAAATTCTCAATATTACCAACACAGAACCAAATTTGATGACTCCAGTACAATTAAGCCAAGTATTCCAATATCCCTAAAATCAAATCTTAACACCACTCTTTATCTGATACTTTTAAAACAGTAGTTCATCTCAAGCAAAACATAGAATGTTGAGGTAAAGGCGCTTATGATACCAAAAGTCTATTCTACTTCAAACAACTATATTGCACTCAACTGAAGAAACCCAAATAACAATGTAGAGAAGTACAAATACAGTTAAAATTCATCAATATGGAATACCGGTATTACCAATATTCATTACTGAAAAACTCAATTTATTATTTTTTTAAGAAACTTCCACCGAAATACTTTCATGCTAACAATATTTAAGGAAGTCCTACCAAATAAATTAAGACCTGCCAAAATAATAATTAGTATGTTTTTAATGCTGCAAATAAATGGTGCTTTAGTTCACCCCTTACAACTAATACCACAGTTCCACAAAGTGGGGTCTGAAGACATACTCCTTGAGGTTTGAAAGGTTTCTTTTCCTTTAGAAAGGCTCCATAGATTAAACTAAATGCTAAACTATCAAAAGCATCAAGAAATTATTTGGCACGTGTGACATCCAAAAAATATCTGCACACCACAAAAAAAAAAGTTTAAGCCTAATTTTTTCACAAACCAGTATCTGCACCTAACACTGCAACAAAAACTATAACTGGATTCTGGAATACTTATGCACCTTAAAAATTCCATGACACCTATGTAAACAGTCTTAGCTACTTTTTTAAAAATTAAAGTATCTTAGCAGCGTAAGACATGTCATTTTGTCTAAGATTTTTTTTTTTTATTTAAAAGAACATAAGCTCATCTACAAGCAAAGCAAAATTAACAGACATTTCAAGGAACAATTATGTGAAATTCAAAAAATCTCTAGTAAATTCAAAAAATATTCTCCCTAACACAAAAACTAAGTATCTTAACTAAAAACTATCTCAACTAAGTTTCATAAGCACAAATCTCATGAATTCCAATTCAAGCTATTTAAAAAGGTAAACATTAACTAATGCATAAACCTCTTTGCCCTTCAATAGTAATCTATCACTTACCCTCTACAACACTTCCAGAATAGCTTTAGCTTTCAAAATAAGTAGGTATTTCTACAGTTCCAATATGTTGTTTCCTTAAGCAAATTCTCCAGAAATTCGAATCTTAACACATTACATTACACAAAACGCAAAACACACAACACACACAAAAGCAAATCCGTGCGCGTAAAATTTTTGTAGTTATGAATGTATTTTTTTCATGCTAGGTAGGTTTAAGGACACAGTGCTCCGTTAGAACTATGAAAAAAAGGAAGTGGATCCCTAAAAACTCAAGGATATGCGCACTTAAAATAACTTTCCTGTCCTTATTCAGTGATAATCCCACGTAATCACCGTTTTAACTAAATACGAAATGTGCAACTTCTAATCAAGACTGAGAGGAAAATGGGAGAGAATGAATTTAAGGGTTATCTCAGATTCTTTTCACTTAAATAATAGCAGGTAAAAAGTTGTTTTCCAGAAACGGTGAGGAAATTCTTTTACTCTTTGCCTGTGACTCTTGAAACCCAAAGTTACGATGAAGCACGTTCAAATTCTATGTGTGAATTTCCCCTGCAAAAAATAACCTACCCCAGTCCAAAATTACTGAGGATCTGCCTTTTATAACGTAGATGGTTAAAACAAAAAACCAAAGCCAAAATGAAGACGAATCCGCACGGCACAGAGTTTCTCTCAGCATCCATCACCGTCAAATAGGAATCATTCGAAGACATCCATTCTATAGCCCACAGCCTTTGTCCACACTCCCAGGGGTCAGAGCTTCTTTCTTCTGCGTCAGGCCGAAGGTGCTACGTGGGATCCGATGCTGTCGCCAGACCTTCGGCCAAAATCAGCCTTCAAATTAACCAGAACCGCCCAACCTCCTGCCTCTCTGCGGCGCCGTCCCAAGGGGAAACACTGCACCTTAATTCGCCATAGGGTCAGCGGGCCCCGAATCTAACTGAATCGCTTTCGCCCCTCTGAAGCCTAACGATCCGGGTCTCCGGCCGACACTGACTACGATGACATAGCAAAGAAAAACAATACCTATGAAATCCTTCGGGCTCTTCACTGTCAAGATCACGGGGAAGCGCACACACACCACCACATGGAGGCTGACGGGAGAGGGAGAGTCAGTGTTTAGCAGGGAAACAAGGCGCCCTAACAGCAGCAGCGACGCCGGAGGCTGAGCGGCCGCCGGCCCCGCCTTTTCCCGTCCTTCCGCCCCGGCCGCCAGCCCCTCCCCACCCCAGACGCCCCGAGGGTCACAGCTCTGCACTCTGCAAGGGACACACACACACACCGCTGCTGCCAAGTCAGACACCAGGCCGGGAGCTGGGATACTCCTCCTCGTAGCTCAGGTAGAGCCTTTTGCGAGCCCAGAGGAAGATGGCGCCCACCCACCCCTCTCGTCCCAACAAACGAACGTAGTTTGTCTGCCCATGCGCTCTCCTAGCGTAACCCCCCACCCACCCCCCCGCGCCTCGGCCGCGCAAGCGCACGCGCCCGCTCGCCCAAGGGTTGGGGAAGGGAGGCGGCACCCTGGATTGGCTGAGCTTCTGCGCGTGCCCAGATGGTAGCCAACCCGGGAGCCTCGCTCTGGAGGTGCGATTCAAAGGCCAAGTTAGGAGTCAACTGGGTGTTGTTGTAATTAAAATCAGCAGTAGATCAGTGTTAAAGTACGCAGAACAAATGTTCACATTTTTCAGAAGTTAAAGAACGAGATGAAAAAATAAAAATTGATTTCTTTGTCTTTCAGTGGTGTAATCACTGTGTGGCGTTAGCATTTTCTGAAAGATTCTTGTAAACTAAAAGGCCAGGGCATGGTTAATTTCAATGTCTTAGATGTTTACCAGGTAGGGTGCCAATACCTAGGGGTTTAATAAATGTATGTTTATCAGTCTTACAGACATTAATAACTTTGTGAATTACCTTCATAAATTTCCGGTTCCCATCTTCTGGTCTTTTGAAACCAGAGAACACATGGACCAGGCCTGCAAACTGAGAAATGAAAATCACAATTACAGGCATGTGCTGTGAATAATAGCTGGTGAACAACCTTGTGTTTCCTTTTATTGTATGCAAGTAACAAAGCAGCACACCATGTTGGGCTGCACAGTGCAATTATCCATAGACTCAAAACTCACCAAAAAGGCAGAAACCACATTTGTATGACGTTACAGATAAGAGAAAAACAAGAGTTTGGAGTCCTCCTTTTATTGTACACAACTAAATTAGAAATGTTATAGGCAGTCAGGGCTGGGCCCTGGAAGAAGTCAATGGAGAAGATAAGAATACATCACAACTGTGGCTAAAAGGTGCATACTTTGAAGGCTTCAAATTAGAGAGACTTGACTACACCTACATACTTGCCCTAGGGCTGAACAGCAGTGACTGACCGCATCCTTCACCTTGGGTGGGGAACTAAAACCTCCCTAGCCCATTCCTTTCTGGAAAATGCTTGTTCTTTCCCAGTACTCTTGCTATGTCACTTGCTTCCCCATTTGATCCCCATCTAATCAATATTACCTAAGTGACTTTACTCGTAATCTTATTAGTTGACTATAGTTTTGTCCTACCTTGTACCAGGCCCCACCTGGTGGCTTTGCTCTATAAAGCTCCTTTGAGAAACACAGTCTGTGGGCAACCCACTTTCTGGACAGGCAGCTTCGGTCTCTCCTAGACAAAAGCTCTTTCTCTCAATAATTACTTCCTCCTCTTAACCTCCATTGTTCCTAGAATTCATTATTCGATTTTAGAGAACATAAACTTGGCATATCGGACATTTAGCAGGTTGGAAGTCGTAATATTTCCCTCATATTATTTGGATTATTTGGAGGTCCATATATCATCCCTATATCATACTCCCTATATCATTCACAGCAAAATGCTGATTCTTAAATTATTAACATAACTGTAAGAAGCGGTAGTTTGAGTGAACAACAAAAAAAATGGTAACCAGAATTAGGGCCATCTTTTACTCATTTGGGCAAATGACTTAGCCTCTCTGTGCCTCAGTTTCCTTACCTAAAATGGGAATAATAGTAGTACCCACCTCTTAGGGTTGTTGGAATGCAAATGTTGGTAATGTAACTATCTGAAACTATTGAATTAGTGACTTGTTTCAAACATCAAGGTGACCCACAGAGAAGCCATGGGTGTTACCTGTGGGTCCTGGATTCCTTGAGTAGATATGATTTTGCTAATCCAGTTTGGTCCTGGCCTTGCAGGCTGAGGAACCTGGCCTAAAAAGCTCACATTTATTTACTATTTACTGTATGCCAAGTTTTGTGCCTTATTTTAGTCTTATGACTATTTTTCCTATTTTACAGATAAGGGAAAACGAGGTATAGAAAATTACATAGCTTGTCCAAGGTCACATAAATTCTGTAGTACAACATAAATCCTGGAATTAAACCCTCATGGTTTGCTTCCAGAGACCACTACTCTGTATTATACAGAAAGAAGATTCTGAGCCCAAGGCAGTTTCCCTTTAAACAAACATGCACAGCAATATTCCACCATATCATTGTTATCAGTATCACACACAAGAAACATTAGCAAAGCAAACTGGAGATCAACTGAAGCTGAACAACACTTTCCTGGTCTGTATATGCTTTCTACATGAAGTCAAATTATCAGTTTGCTAAGCATGGAAAGGGAACATGAGTAGTTACCTCATCTCAAAAAGTGATCCTCAGTTAAGACTATCTGTAGGCATTCCCATCCATCCTAACAAAAATAACAGCTATCATTTAATGAGCACTTACTGTAGTACTCACCTGGCCAAAGTTTGCTCAGGTAAGACCCTGTCCCTCAAACAGCATGCTAGGCATTACCAGTCTCTCATGGTCTCCCGCATTGTCCTGGACTGACCATACTCCTGGTCACAGACTTTCTCCAAATAGGACACTCTAGTGAATGTCTTTCTAGTTTGCTCCGTGCCTTTTTCAGATGACCATACCATTATAAAAAAAAAAATCAGATTAAGGTAATTTGGATATAACCACATGGTATTCTTGTTATTGAACAGTTTCTGTACATGTAGTGTGTTAGCCTCAAAATCTAATGAGTTTTGAGAAAATAGGGAAAATTATTTCTGGAAAAGCACAACAGTAGACCCTGAAACAGCCACACTGATCTATGGCCATTCTGTGGCTCTGTCTGAACAAGTCTGATAGCTCCCCAGATGTTTTCCCTTAACTGCAGTACTACCCACCCTAGTGAATGCTTTTAGCATCAGACAATTTTTGGCTGCCATCCATAGCCTTTCAGCATCTACAAGGACAGCATTTGCTCACTTTGTCTCAGGTTTTCTTTAGAAATTTCCACATACTTTTCCCTAGGATATTTTCTAAAGTATAAAGTTCATATTATTCCCTTGTTTAAAAATCTTAAGCTTGAAATCATGATAGACAAATATTGGCATCAATAGCCTTCATTTTTATTCCTTCCTATCGTCCTACCCTTTTCTCCTGTCATTGGCCAGGCATAACCTATACAACAGGGAAACTGAAGTACATGTCACTCACCAATGTGCCTGCCTTTTTATGCCCCTGGCTTTTCCATATGGTCCTTCTGCCTGTCCTGTTTTATCATATTTCCTCCTCTGTGACCTTTCCACTGATCTTCCAGTTCTATGGTCTCCACTAGAGAAGTTATCTCAACACATTTTATTGATCTGTTTCCATATCTGCTTCTCTATTATACTGTGAGGTCCCTGAGGGGGAAGCACTCTTCTTTTTGAAAATGTCTGTCATTGAAGTGCTCAATAAGTGTTTCAAAAATGATTTAACTCCCTGCAAAAAGAATGAACTACTTTCTGAGCACTGTTTCCAGGTAATTAGACCTCTCAATTCAGTTTGGAGAGTCTAAACACAGTAGCCATTGGAACAGCTACAGATTTCTGTTCCCAACCTCCTTGTCAAGCACTAGACTTATAAACTCATTTTCTGCTACAGTTCCCTATCTTAGTAGGCAATCAAACTTATCTCCTCAAATTGCCATCTCTAACCTAGGCCTTCCCTATCCCTTCCCCTTACCTGCTCCCCCTCCAACATAATTTAGTCTTAGAGGCAAGATAGACTTACTACCAATTTTTCATTGCCAAATGATTTCCCTTCCAATTATTCACTCTTTTCAAAATATCTCCTACATTTATCCAAAGTACTTACGAAAAGAACTGATGGTGTTTGACTTCTCCGCTTTTACCACGGATTTCTTTATATCCTCACTGATCTCTCTTTTCTCTCAGATGCTAAGAATTATTTTTCCCCTGGAAAGGGCCTCCTCCCATTCTTCATCACAGTCCTTGACACCCTCTTACTCAAGACAAAAATCAATTATTTCTCTTTATCTTTAATCTCCCCTTACTCATCAGTACCTCTTTGCTTATAGACATATTACCTCTTATCCTTAAAAATATTTGAACTATTTTGCTCATTCACTGCTTTTGTTTTCCTTTCAAAGCCAAACTTCTCAAAATAGTTTTTATCTGGCACCTGCTTTTTCTCACTACTGCTGTATGATTTTCTTCTACCCCAACCAGTGTAATGATACTGTACTCCAAAAGGTGACTAATGATCAGTCATCCAGTTGCCAAATCCAAAGACCTTTACCGCATTTTCAGCCTTCTCTTTCACCTCCTACCCCCTACCCCCACCCCTGCTTTTTGCAGCATTTATAGGAGACACAGTACTGCAGTTAAGCAGCCCCCTCAGCCAAAGGGACAGAATTCAGTTTGTTTCTACAAATTTCTACCTGAAGGTTTAAGTAGGGGTTTTTGGTAAAGACCAAATTCTTGCCTCCATTTAATTATTTATAGAAAGAGATGATAACAGTGCATATTTCAGAAGATAGTTTAGTAGATAAATTTTGTAAGGTAATGCACGGTGCAGTGCTTATCTCAACAGGTGTTCAAAAAGTATGTGCTATCTTTTTTGAACCTGTTCTCTCACTTTCTTTGGTACACTTCTTTCTAAGCTATCATTAAACCACATTCTCCAAATTTCTTCCTCTATCTCTGTTTCTTATCTTAACTGAATAATATTGGACACTTCTAATCTTGATAAATGAAAACAATTATATTCCCTGTTCATTAGGTTGTTAACAATAATGAAATTGAAGGTAAAGAGTTTAACACAATACATGGCATAAATAATTTGCTTTCTTGATTAAGAAAACAGAAGAAACATTTCTGGTTCAGTTCCTTTCCTTCTTGTTTGAGATTTGAATGTTGCTATCTGGTATATGGAAGTCACACTGCAGTAAGAAAGAAAAGCCACAAGAATTGCAGAGATAACTACCTAGTATCACTGAAGGAACATCAACAGCCTCCAGGTTTATGTTTGTTTTTGTTTGAACTGTTATGAACTGGCTTAAACTACCTGGACTTTGGTTACTTACAAAAAAAACCCCTCTAATGATATTGTCTCAAATGTATGCTTAAAAGCTTTAGCTAACATTTCTTTTCTGCTATCCTTGTAGGCAGTTTACACAAATGAACCTACAGTTATCTCAAACTTAACCATATTTGTTTACTTCTAATCTTTCTACTATAGATAAAGTCTCCAGCTCCTGGGGCCACTTTTGTAAGATGTGGTGTTCGAAGACCTTAGACAAAATTCCACAGTATATGACTTATAATGCACTAAAAAGTAGAATGTCAGAATTTTTCTATTTCTATTGATATTTAGGAGCCACTTACTGCACTGAAAAATGACAAGTTTTGAAGAATAACAAACTCTAGTTCCATCACTTCCTAAAATTTAATTTTTTAAGTCTCTTATTTTTCTAAATAATGGATAATACTTCCTCAAAATGTTGTTATGAAGAGTTAAGACTAATGTTGCCAAGCACCTAGCACAGTGAAAGGAGTGGAACACACACACACACACACACCATCATAAATGTGCGTTCTTTTTATTGCTTAATAACATAGTAAGCAGTGAGTAAATATCCTGATCCTTGCCACAGAGTATATAATGGTATAACATTTCATCAAGGAAGCCTAGTTAAAACTTGCCTCTATGAAGGTTTTGCAGATTAATCCCAATTATTCTGCCCACATCCTTTCTTAGTTTTCATTAACATTTATATGGTCATGTATTTTTTTAAATCCATAAAAATAAGTTATTTCCTCTTTAAATTTCCACTCCAACAACACATTAATTATTCAAAAATATTTTTTAGAATTCTCTTTTAAGAATAATTTTCAGAAAATACGCTTGTTGTGTCATAGATACTAGTGATTTGGTCAGTGTTGGTCTTTTGAGGAAGCCCTAATGGTGGTTAAAGTTAAATGTATCCAACTTCCTTAGATGCATTTTCTAGATGCATTGAGAATATGCTCACCTTAACAGGGAAAAAAATCACATTATTACAAAATTTGCACTTTTTAAAGAAAGCAAAAAGCCATTTCAAGTTACTCTTGATAAATAAGGTAGCTTAAAAAATATAACAAGTGATTTCATGGGAAAGAAAGAAAAAATATAACAGTTGTACAAACAAAATTAAATAAAACAAAGTAAGATTTAAGCATTAAGTTTTTCTTTTGTGACCATTAACTGGCTATGAAGGCAATTCTAAAATATGTCGGAGCTAACAGTCTCCAAGGATGTCTACTTGAAAAACAATATCCATGTATGTGTAAATTTGATTTAAAAACTGATAGGTCTCCCACTACCTCAGCAGCTGTTATGTATGGTAGCTGCCCTCTTCCTATTGTGCCTTGTCCCCTCCCCTGTGTGACGTCACGCCAAAATGGTTGCTCCCACCAAAGAACAAACCCTTCTTCCCAGTATGCCCCTGTTCCTATCTGGAGAGTAACCTAATACTGGCTCACCTACTACCTCGTGACGTCACCGGCTCCTCCATCCCCTAGCCACTACCTCACTCAGCCCCACCTCAGCTCCTACAAGCCCCACCCGCGCTCCTATAAAAGGTACTTGCTGTCCTGGCCATATTGCTTTTGTCTCTCCTTTGTTCGGAGACATCTTGGCAGATCTGTTCCCCTAATAAAGGCTTGTTGTGGCCTGGTCTGGTCTTGGTTTTCGGCCCTTTTACCTGACAAAAACAATCGAAATGATCTTATTTTATGTACATAATTTTCTATGCTCAAAACAAAGTTAAAAATAAAAAGGATAATGTTTTTGTTTTTTCAGTTCTTGACCCATGGTAATCCTCCAGCATTACACATTTTAAATTTATGGAGGTCTGTTTATTTGTTGTTTGTTTTGCTCTACTGGGGATCAAATCCAGGCCTCGGGCATGCTAGGCAATCACTCTTAAGACTGAGCGACTCCCCCACCCCTCAAAGTGGGTTTTTGAAAATTTACAAAATATATGACATGTCTTCTCTGAAAATTAGACTGGTTAAATTCTGATGTAATTACTTAAGTATCTTTTTTTTGGACACAGGGTCTCGCTATGTAGTTCACTATGTACCCCAGGCTGGCCTCGAACTCGCAGCGATCCTCCTGTTTCACCCTTCCGAGTGCTAGGATTACAGGCATGAACCACCACTCCCGGCGAAAAGATACTTGTAATGTTACATAATTATATTTTCTTTGGTGTGATATTGCTTCCAGCCCCTCTTCCATTGATTTCACGCCCTAGTAAGATTGAGTCCCAGAGTTTAAAAAATATACCTTTTAAATAGCCGTCTGACTCCAGCGTTAACCTCGCGGATTTTTAGAGCTTTCAAATGTAACAAACCAGCCACCTTCCCGCGGGTTTGGTAACCTAGCAACTAAGGAGCGCCGGCAAGGATTTCCGTAACCGAGTTGTCCAATCAGCTCAGCGGTGTCGCCGCAGAGGCTGATGGGGCACTGGAGACTGCGCTGTCTCTGGCCTCAGCACCATGGAAACGCTTGGTGGGGCTAGGGCGGCAATGGCGGCTTGGTCTGTTTTAACCGCTAAGGCTCTGACTGCATTCCTCATGTTGGTCCTCCCTCGCGTCTCACAGGCTCTCACCTTCTCCTTACCTTTCCAGCAGCCAGAGACATGCAGCCACAACCAGTACTTCGATATCTCGGCGCTGTCCTGTGTCTCGTGTGGAGCCAACCAGAAGCAGGATGCTCGAGGTGAGACGAGTGCAAACGTAACACTCCCACCTTGGTTATCCCCAGGCCTCGACCTCTTCGTTTGTAGAAGGAATGCTTCAGAAAACGTAGCCGCCGAACTTAAGATTTCCTAAGAGGACTCCACTTTACACACTAAAGTGGTAGGGGAACCCGGAGTCCATTACCCTGCTCGCCTACGTTTAGGGTCAATCCCCCAGTCCTGATGTATGGGAAAAGTCTGTAGTGCAGTACTTAGAAAGCTGCCTATCAAAGGTAGAAAATAAATAGAAAAGAAGTAATCTGAGGTAGAGAGGTGTAGATGACAGGAAAGATTAGGGAGGAAATGCAAACTAACGCTTGTAAATGTTGATAGTTCTTTGTCTTGCTTTTTTCCATCCCAGAAATTTAGAGCTGGAAGAGGCTTTAAGCACAATCAGAGCCATCTTTTCATTGTACTCATAAGGAAATTGAATCCCAGAAGAGGTTGTGAAATCTGTCACCCGTCTGGGAGATCGCATGTCTTTTCCCCCCTCAGTCTCTAACTCTGTATCTCCAGTATAATTTTGCCTCTATAATAGAATTCTTAGAACTTATCCCTGTTATTGTTGAATGTTACTGACTGCTCTTAAAGTCTTTAGATTAACTTAATTTACCCCCTAAAATGTGCAATAAACTGCTCAGAATAAGTTTTTCCTGTATATTGAAGTCTGAGGTGTTTTCAGTCTCAATCATCCAGCAGTGGTGGCTAACTTACACACACATGCTGCAGTGGGCTGTTTGTAGCTTTGAAAGCTCTAAAAGGTTTCCCATCACTGATACAGTATTAACTTTCTGTCACCTTCAATCTGATTTATCCTCATTTAAGTCATTGACCAAGCCAGATCAGGTTGTTTCGGTAAAGAAATGTGACTGAGAAAGCATTTCAAGCTCTAAAATGTAAGATACTAGTATAATAATTATGAATCTAGATATTGTTTGCATTGTGCTACACAGATTGCTATGGATGTACTACACAGAGAATGCTGTCCTTGCTATGCAGCCAGTTCAGTAGTAATTTCCTAAAACATTTACTGGCTTTCCAAATAGAGAACAATGATTTATTTTCTTTTCTAATAAAGTTTTGGCAATTTTTAATTCACTGAATGTTCACATATGATTTAGCCACATAGAAATACAAAATTTCCTATAGCAGTTAATAGTTTTAAGAGTTCAGTAGTTTGATAGTTTAGTTATACTTGAAATTAAAATAGTAGCAATGTAATACAAGCTGTGTGCCAGACCCAGGGAGACTTTTGCATATAATAACTAATTCAGAACTCACGCTAATCCTGTGAGGCAAGTAGTTATTTTTTTGTTTCACTGAAGAAGCAGCCAAGGCACAGGGTTCAGTAACTAGCTCAGTGTCACTCAGCTTAGTAGAACTAATGTTGGAACCCAAGAAGTACATTTCTGTATTTAAACCCAGACAGTACTAGTTCTTGCATCTTGTTATTAACCACTATCCACTACTGCTTCTGAAAATCTTAAGATTGATTGTCTTGGAGTTCTACTTTTATTTATCAAGGACAAAATTGGCTCCTTTCTTTTTAGGAACCTCATGTGTGTGTTTACCAGGATTTCAGATGATTTCTAATAATGGAGGACCTGCCATTATTTGTAAAAAGTGTCCAGAAAACATGGTATGGAGATCTTATTTTAAAATCATTTTACTGTAAAAAGGAGTAAATTAAACCTCTTTATTTTTAAAACTTCAATATAATATTTAGTCTAATATTCCTCACAAACTTTATTTATTGATTTATTTTTTGGTACCGGGATCAAACTCAGGACCTTCTGCTTGCAAGGCAGGCGCCGGAACCACTGAGCTAAATCCCCAGCCCACAAACTTTAAAATTATTAAATTAACTTTAGTTTTACTAGAGTAAATTTTGGGAGATGGATGAAATTTTAAGCAAAATTTCATATGGAAAAAAACTTTCTAAATCTGACTTTAAGAAACTCTACAAATCTGTGAAAATTTGTATTTTTATTTTTCCTCACTGAATAACTCAGTTATAAAGAAAGGTGAATAGTACATGTACAGAGCAATTGAAGATATATATATCCTTTGGTACAAATTGTGTTCAGTATCTTATACCTACTATATGAATAGTAGGTTATATGGTAATCTAGGTTCATGATGATTTCTAACGTGAAATAAATTCATGTAAGCTAAGGATAGTGGTGCATGCCCATAATTCCAACACTTCAGGAGCCTAAGGCAGGAGGATTGCTGTGAATTCAAAGCCAGCCTGGGCTACACAATGAGTTCAAGGCCAGCCTGAACTACAAAGTGAGACTCTGTCTCAAAACAAAACAAAAAATAAGTTCATGTAATGCCAATTGGATTGATAAATAGTTAAATAATGTCTTGCTCTTTTGTTAGTCATTTTGTTATGTCATTTTGGGGAAATTAATACTTGCTATGTAGAATAATTCTCAATTAGTAGAAATACATTTTTCAATCATTTTGGATAATTTGGAGTCTCTGGCAGTTCAATTTTAATAGTAATATTCCTTCTCATTGTCATATTTTAAAAAAAATTAAATCTGGGAATTAAATATAACGTTCTCTGATGTCCTAATTTAAAGCTATTTTATTTATAGGTCTGATTATCACTTTGATATTTACGTTATATTGGAATTGTTGGTAGTAGCTGAATCACTGATGACAAAAAGCTGATAATAAAAAATGGTGACAGGGTGGACTTATTTTTCAGTAACATTATTAAGTTATTTTAGTTTTTAAGTAATCCTTTTTAAGACTAATGCCATATATAAGAGCATTTCTTGGTAAGTCTACTCTTTTCAATCAAAATTTAAGATAATTTGTGGCATTAGTCTGTTTTTATCATTGTTCTCTATTTTGGTCACATATTTATAATTATTGTATTATTGTTCCTATTTTTCCTAAACCATATAATAAGCTCAATTTTGAATGATGTGGAAGTTTGCCAAAAACCTTTACTAGTACAAATTATTAATGAATAAAAGGAACTGTTCTCACAATATTTGAAAATTAATGTGTAATTTATATACCATGATAATTTACCCATTTTGAGTCACAGCTTAATTTATAAAGCTAATGTACTTCAATTTTAAAAATTAGAATAACTATTTTAGAACATACAAGCCTGAACTATTAACTGACTCTGTTGATTCAATCCTGTTGAATATTTTTGTGTTTTGTATTTGTAAATGGAAAAACTGAATGTCAAAATTAATTATGAAAGCAAAAATCCATTTGAACTGAAGAACAAAGAATTGTTACTGAGTTTATCTTTTATTAATAATCACTAAATAGTATAAACTTACAGCTTAATTTTGTAATATAAAGTATGAATTGGCTATCTAAGGAATTTTTCTGTGGTTCATATATTATGATTTACTTGAATATATATTGCAAATTACATACTGTTACGGCTGTTTGAACTTACATGCTCGATTCAGAAGAAAGTTAATTAATAAGGAGAAAAATTGTTTCTAATTCAGAATGGTGTTACTGAAGATGGCTGGAACTGCATTTCTTGCCCTAGTGGCTTAACTGCAGAAGGAAAATGCCACTGTCCCGCTGGCCATATTTTAGGTAAGAATTAGCTTCTTTATAAGATCATGGTGATGAATTGTAAAGAGCATAAATTTAAGTCCGGGCATGGTTGAGGACCCTGTAGCCAGCACTTGGGAAGCTGTCTCATTATGGTCATGAGTTCAAGGCCAGTCTGGGCTCCAGAGTGAACCCTACCTCAAAAACCAACGATCCAACCAACAAAAAAGTATATTAACTTTTTCCGCCGCCTGCTGCGCAAGCGCAAAGACCGGAGCTCGATCCCCGGTACCAAAAAAAAAAAGAATATTAAATAGTTCAGTGATTACTTGATAGTATTTTTAAAAATTATTTTTGTGCAAAATATAGCGATGCGTAAGACATCAGCAGGCATTACGTAGAAAATATGTCCTGTCTGGTTAAAAAAAAATTCTTACTAGAATAGGATTAGATGGATTCTTCCTTAGCATAATATGATAAAACATGTATGTCTCGACTCAAAAGCCAACGTAATGCTTAACAGGGAAAATTTATAAGCATTCCTGTTGATTTCGGGACAGGGAAAGGATGAAAACTATTGCACTCAAGTAAGAGGGAAAAATGTAATCATTGAAAAGGAAAAGGTAAAAAAAATCGTTATTTGCAGGTGCATTGTTCAGAAAACCTAAAGGGATCCTGTGATACCAGCACTCTGGGAGGCTGAAGCAGAACTGCAGGTTTGAGCTCAGCCTGGACAACTTAGCTACCTAGTAAGACCCTGTCTACAAGTAAAAAGCCCTGGGAATATGGCTCAATACAAAAGCCCAGGATCCAATCCCCAGTGCCACAAAAAATGAAAGAAAGAAAGAAAGAAAGAGCCAAAGTAATTACTACTAAAAGTTATAAACACTAAAGTTTCCTAGATACAAAAATAATATCCAAAATGTGAATTAAAACTAAAATGAAATTTTATTTTTACCTAAAGATTTTATTAAACCTTTTCAACCTTGTCAATGTATTTGTAAGAGAAATACTCGTATATTATTGGGGTATTTTAAACTAGTGGAATCTCTTTGGAGAACATATTGACAATATTTATCAAAGTTTAAAATGCAGGTCATCTTTGTCCAGCAATCCATCAGCTAGAAATTTCTTGTTCATATACACTGAAGAAGTAAATGTATGTTTTTTAAAAATTAATTAATTAATTTATTTATTTATTTATTGAAACAAGGTTTTGCTATGTATTGCACGCTGGTCTTGAACTTATTATGTAGCTCAGGCTGGCCTCGAACTTGCAGCAATCCTCCTGCCTCAGCCTCCCGAGTGCTGGGATTACAAGTGGGTGCCACTACACACAGCCAATGTGTGTTTTTTTTAATTGCAATATCTTTACTAAGACAAAGATTGTAAACAATTTAAAAATTTATCAAGAGGACATTGGTTGGATGAACCATGGTCTGTCCATCCAGGAATCACTGGTGCTAGAGTTGCAGTTTCATAGAGTTGCTGAGGATGGAGGTTAGATCCCGGGAGGGCGAGAGTGACTGAGTTGTTGGGAAGTGGAGGCCGCTGGATGTGTTTTCCCCCTAGTCCTCAGACTTATGGATAACCAGGTCCTTCCCCACCTTGGCTTGGGAATCTTGGCTTGATAAATATTTAAGAAGTTTTAAAAATATTACATTCATACATACTACTGATTTTTAGTAGTTTTATTAGCACTGTTCCCTCCATTGAAAAGGTTAACTTGACTCTCACAGTTGGGGAGTGGATTCTTACGGATGGGCCTAAGGAAAATTCTTAGGGATGGGTTGGATGGCAATTTGAAATTTATTACATTTCAAGATGTGTTATCTCTACCAACACTTTTAGTATTAAAAAATGTTTAGGATTAAGGGAAGATGAAAGTAAATGAGATTAAATTATAAATTTGGAATTAAAAACTCCCAAGGACAAATATGCTGACATTTATTTAAATGCCATCCAGTAGAAATATAAGGCAAACCAAATATATAATTTTTAATTTTCTTATCTACACATTAAAAAGAGCCAGGCTTGGTAGCCCACACCTCTAATCCCAGCACTTGGGATGCTGAGGCAGGAGGATCGCTGCAAGTTCAAGGTCAGCCTGGACTACATAGTGAGTTCAAGGTCAGCCTAAGCTGTGTGGTGGGACCCTGTCTCAAACCACCCCCCAACGAAAAGGTAAGAAGAAACAGATGAAATGAATTTAACGATGTATTTCATTTAACCCACTAGTATGTAAAACATTTCAAAAGTAATCAAGGTAAATAATTATTAATGAAACATTTCATTCCTTTACTAAGTGTTTGAAATTTCAGTTCTGATGAGCCACATTTCAGGTGCTCCATAACCACAAGTGGCTAGTAGTGACCATTGAACAGTAAAAATTTATACCAAGATAAAGTGCATGCAAGTACACTTGATATCAGCTACACGTATAAGCCAACTAGTCACTGGAAGAATATAAAACTCCTGTGAAATCTTATATAACAAACCACTCATCATATTCCATTACTCTAACCATGTTGTTGACCTTATAATCCTTCAGATGTTTTTGAAATTTTGTGGGTCAGAGTCAGAAAGAACATTTTGGGATTTTTGTTTTGCTGCTTTCTCTGGCACCTCATGGCCCCATGAGATTAGGGGACAGTTGCGAAAACAGTATTGCTATTTTAGAGGCTTCTGTCATGTCCTTGAGATTCTCAGTAGTGCAGAGCAAAGGAGAGAGAGTAGGATGTTAATTTACATGGATGATGTTGTAGTCAACAGGATTTGGCAAGGGAATACACATTAAATACAAGACACATAACTTATAAGATTATTTTATGATAATTACCCAAAAAGTCAAATGCAAAGGAGTATAAGAGATTAACCACACACTAGAAGCCCAAAAGATTCAGCTGAGGGCCTAGATGCCAGCAATTTCCCACACAAGTCCAGCTAAAGGCTTAGAGTCCAAGGCAGTGTCCTCCTTGAGTCCATCCAGTGGCCTGCAGCCCACAGCAATGTCTCATGCTTGTCTGTACTGAGGATCTGCATCTGGAAGGCCCAAAGGCCAGGGGTGGAAGCCAGAAAATCTGTGCTGGTGAATGAAGGATTTGTGCCACCAAGCTGAGGGATCCACATTGGAGCCAGGAAGTGAGGCTCACAGTAAAGATCAGAGCTCCCCTGAGGAAAACAGCAGCTATTCCCAGTGACAGTGAGGCCCCAAGCTCCTCCTCCGATGCGAACAGCCTAGTTTGCATCTGGAAAACCATCCGCAGCAAGCTTCTCCTAGGAAATCAATAGGCCAAGATCTTCCCCTCCAGTTCTCTTTTTATGGCTGTTGGTAACAATCTTCAGGTGGATCCTCCATGCTCAGACTATGCTGATTCAGTTCAGCTGTGTGTTACAAGTTGCCCATTAGTCAGTCCACCACAGATGATCATGGAAGCCCTCTCAGGAAAGGTGACATCTGAGCAGAAACTTGAAGGGAATGAGGGACGGAGCCCTGAGATGACTGGGGAACATCACGATAAACAGAAGTAATACTGAGAGCTAAGGTCCAGTGATGGTAGCATATTTGGTGCATCCGAGGCTGAGGAAGTACACTGATGTGGTTGAAGCAAAGGAGGAGGAAAATGGAAGCAGATGAATCTGAAAAGTTGAGGGTGATGCTGAGCAGATCTTGTAGGGCTTGTAGTCCATGATGACAGCCTTGGAAATGACACTGTGAGAGACAGAAGGCCATTGGTATGTTGTGCACAGTGAAGCGACCTGATTCTAGTTAGCTTTTAAAAGGCTTATTTATATTTCTGCATGGAGCATGGAAGCAGCACTCCCATTAAGAAGCTGTTACAAAAATCCCAGGTCATAGATTATGGTACTTGATCCACAGTATTTATTGTGGAAGTAGAATAATTCAGTTTCTGAATAAGTTTTTTTTTTTAAATTTTTTTTTTCCAATGGTCGTAGATAAAACATTTTTGTTGCGTGTATTCTTCGAGTATTTTTTGTGCTGGGTGTTGAACTCTGGGCCTTGAGCGTGCTTCTACAAACTTTTATATGCTGCTCTTTTTCCTCTCACGATTTAGTTCCTTTCTCAAGAGCTCCGTCCACTCTGAATAAGTTTTGACAAGAGAGTTGACAGGATTTGTAGATTCATTTATTTCAAATTTTATTTATTTATTTATTCATTCATTTGTTCATTCTGTACTAGGGATTGAACCCAGAGCTTTCATGTTGAGAGCTATATTCTTAGCCCTCTTATTTTATTTTGTGGTAGAGTCTCCTAAGTTGCCCAGGTGGGACTCAAACTTGCAATCCTCCTGCCTCAGGCTTCCATAGTGCTAGGATTACAGATGTGCACCATCATGCCCAGCTCAATTTTTATTTTTACTGTGAAGTGTGAGAAGAGGAAACTTGCAGGACTGGGGCTTGAGTAAATGTTCAAATGGAGTTGGATTTACTGAGGGAGATGACTCTGTGAGGAACAAGTTCATCTTTACTTTTCTCAAAAATATTTTGTAGCCCCATGCAAAACCTTACAACGTTATGAATACACCTAAAGTCCTTCTTGACCTTTTTTCCCAATGCTGAGTCTCCACTGCTTCTTAACCCCAAAGTAATTGTTTCTGTTTTAGGGGTGTGTGTCTCCTTCTAGAATTTTTTTCCTATTTTGTCATAATGATATGCATGGTACCCACAAGAAATAGAAGTATTATATAAGAAATCAGTATTTCATATTCCAAATATTGTTTTGTTACATACTTATTTCAGCCAACAATATTATGTTAGGTCTACACCATTCTTTTTAATCTATCCTGTAGTATTTCATGATATGCATATATCATCATTTTGATGTTTAGCTATTCATATTGTTTTCTAACAAATAATGTTTCAGTGAGTATAACTTACACACACATAAAGTATTTTTGTTTTGTATCTAAAAATGAAATTGTGGTACTGTGTAAAGCACATGAATTTAAAACTTTAATAGACATTATTAAAAACCATCCAAGTTATAGAAACTTGGCAGCAATCTATGAAAATTCTTTTTTCCCCCATCCCTGTATGACAGGAAAAAGGTAAGAAAATTTTTGAGGAAAAAATATTATTGAGTCATTATTAATGATTACTTGGAAAATTAGTTTCCGTATTTTTTCATGTGGAAATGGAGAAGGCTTCATTTTTCTAATCTTACAGAGATCCTTGACATGCCTTTTATGTAAATAATGTGTTTTGAGTATTATTACATTAATAATTACAAGTAAATTTGATTAGATATTTTCTAAGAATATAAAGCTTATGTGCTCACTATGAATTACACCTTAATTTTGCTGCTGAATTCTGTAGTGGAAAGAGATGTTAATGGATCATTGTTATCTCAAGCAACTTGTGAGCTTTGTGATGGAAATGAAAACTCTTTTACTACAGCCAGTGCTTTAGGAAACACGTAAGTAGTATTGCTAGAGGCTGACTTTATTAATATCATGTTACATTAATCATTTTATATCATCTTCCTTTGCATGAATGTCCATATAAATCCATCAGAGTTACCACTCCCCCAGTGTCCTCCCTCCTTCCATCTCATTCCTTAATGGAAAATAGGAAGGATTCTCCTAAAATAAACAGAAGTGATGAACAGTACTGGTTGTAGGTTTGGTGAAGAGATATATATACTCTCAGCTTTTCAGCTTATGCTGCCTTTTTGTTTGTAACAGATAAGGAAAGTATATTTGCTATAACTACTTAAAATGGACTTACTTTCATTTATATTGAGTTTGTTGGGGTTTTTTGTTGGTTGATTGACTTTACCTTCTTTGCTATTTAGTGTATTCATTCATTATATTTCCAAATATAATCTTCTATTGTTGGTTAATTTTATTTGTTTATAGGTTACCTTATAACGCAAAGAGTGGTATAAAATTATTTAAATCAGTGTTAATATTTGCTTAAGTAATTGCTTAGCTGAATGAATCTGTTCTAATCCAGTATTTAGGAAAACAAATTCTTAATTAAATTAGGTTTAATGTAACTCACTAACATGTTAAAAATTATTTTTGTTATATTGAACAGATGTGTCCGATGTGAACCAACATTCATTAATGCCAGCAGGTCCTGTGAATGTTCGGAACCTAACATTTTAGTAAGGATAATCAAGTTGATAAAGTATATATTTTTAATTCATTTGCTCATTCTTTTCCATAAACAAAGTATTTCTTCCTTCTTTATTTATGAAGACAGGGGGATTATGTTTCAGCAGCTCAGGGAGTTTTCCTCCACGTGTAATTTCAGCTGCACGCCAGGGAGAGCCTGTAAGTATATTTCACATTTTTGTTCCATTATGGGGAATCTTTCTGCAGTCCTTCCTTTGATAATTAATTTTAAACTACAATGAGAAAATTATGTGTAAATCACTTTAAAGCAAATTATCAGTGTAAGAAACATTACTCTAACAACTCAGCACTATAATTTATTAGTACTCTTCCATACCTTAGCTCATTCCTTTCTCAGTGAATTACAGAAAGTAATGTCCTATACAGGTCCTATAAAAGATGTAGTTTAATACAGTTAAGAGCATCATATACTCCAGATTGGAACTCTAGATTTTCCAGTCATTGGTTTTGTATCTTTGGACTTTGGGAAAGTTGCTTAGCATTTCTAAATTTCAGTTTATTGTCTGTAAATGAAACATAATAATAGCTATGTTGCAGTGTGAATACATGGTGAGCATTGGAGAAATCAGAATTATTCATGTCCAGCCAGCTTGTTTTATAGATGAGAGCATAGAGAACTAGGATTAAAGCCTTTGTAGCAGACACTAGGTCATAACAAGGTTTGGGTGTAAAGTGAGAAGCAGATGAAATTGGAACTGAAGAAGTCACAAACCTGAGAGAATAAGGGTTACGTGACTAACAAACATTGAAGATGTCCAGAATACCCACACAGCTTGGGCAGACAGACTGTGATCTGGTTGTTAATTATCATCATTAAGTAAGTAGGAGTGATTGGGAGGAATGTGAGGGATAGCAACAATGAGGGCAGGATTTAGAATCTTTTTATTTTAATTTTTATTAGTACATTTTTACAGTACATAATGATTATATTCATCATGGAGAGTTGGTACATACACGTAATTCATCTTAGTTCTTTTTATATTGCCTTCCCTTCTCTCCCTCCCACTGGAATCTATGATCTTGATGCATAAGGCAACAATTCCTCTCCTCCAGTATAGTCTGTGGTGCCTTTTTATAAAAGGGACTAGAACCTTTGTGGATTTTGGTATCTATGGGGGTCCTAGAACCAATGCCTACAAAAATAAGAAATATCTGTATATCTGTATACACACACACACACACACACACACACAATCACACACAATCATTTTTTTCCTGAGCCATTTTAAAATGAGTTGTAGACGTGATGGTAGTTCACTCGAAATGCTTCACTGTATATTTCCTAGCAATAAGGGCATTTTTCTAGTATCACATCCAAGACATTTAAAATAATACAATAGGGTTATCTGATACCTGTTAGATTTCTCCACTTTTTCCAATAGTGCCTTTTATTTCTTTCCTTTGTTTTGGATCCCACATTGCAACTAGTCTTTTTTAGTTGCCTTTAATCTGCAGTAGACACCTGTTGCATTTGACTTCTTTCACGAACATTAAGAAAATAACATTATTCATTTTCACTTGGCAATATACATATTAATATCTTTCTAACAGTGTAAGTTCAAGGAATCTTCATTTGAACATCTTTTCATTTACAGGGGATGTCTTTCATTTCAGAATGGTTTGCAAAGTATTTGCAGTCAGCAGCAGCTGCATGTTGGGTACGTTTGAATTTTTAAAAAATGTTTGATAGGTCCGGGCATTTAGCTCAGTGGTTCTGCCGCCTGCCTCAAAAGTGGAAGGTCCCAAGTTTGATGACCAGTACCAAAAAAAATGTTTTATATCACTTTGAAGAATTGTGGTACCGTTCTTTACCCAGATAAAGTTTGCTTTCTAAGTAGACATATTTCCTTGGTTATATTTTCTAAGAAGAATAGAAACTTTCTGGTGGATTGAAAGAGAATATAGAAAATATTCAATATAAGCAGATTAAATGTCTTTAAGCATATTCAGCTACATTTGAGTGTTTGGGGAAACTGACTTGTCATTTAGTAAGTTTTGTTGATGACTGAGTGTATGGCAGACCTGTTCTTAGTCAACTTAGATAATTGCAGAAAAAGAAAAATGTTCCTCATTGAGTTGTAATGTAAGTAAATGTCGGTTTGTATTAAGGGCTGTGAAGGCAATAAGTCAGGGCAAAGAGCAGAGAAAGTGGTGGGCAGTGCTGTTTTATATACGAGCTCTGAGAGGGTGATACATGAGCAAAGACCTGAAAGAGGTGCAAGTGAGCTGGGTAAGTATCTAGGAGAGAGTATTCTCAGAAGAGACCACAGGAGTAGCAGAGGACACAAAGCAACAGTTAGTGGCTTGTTTATGCTCCAGAAGTGGGAAAGAGGCTGGAGTGGCTGAGCAGCCTGAGCAAGGACGCAGGGAGAAGAGGAGATCAGAGGTGCAGGAGGGCTCTGGTGAGGACCGGGAGTCTGGCCTAGGGGAGACATGATCTAACTTCAGGTTTTCACAGGAGTCCTGTAGCATGGAAGTAGATTTTGTTAGGGTGAGCACAGGAGCGGGCAGACCATTTGGGTAGTATTACAGTAACCTGAGAGAGACTAGGACTGTGGGCGAGGGTGGTGCCATGGAAACGAGAGACATGTTCGGCTTCTGGCTATCTGAACACTGAGCCAACAGCATTGACCGATGAGTTAGAAATGGGTGGGACAGAATGAAGTTCCTATGAAGTTTTGATTTGATTAACTAAAAATGGAGTTGCGTTTTCCTCATAGGGAAAATTGTGAAAGATGATTAAGAGGTAGACTCAACAGATGATCTTATTGGTTGTTCATAAAACAAATTACTTAAAATGGATTAGATTTATATGTGTCAGATCTAATATATACATTATTCAACTATAAATATTCTACTTAATAGTTTTTAAAAATAGCATGCTATAAATTTTTAGCTCTTTCAGTTGCTCATCTTTATAGCGTATTCTGAAATTTACAATAAAAGAGTACTTATTCTTCTTTTTATGTGGAAAGTGTATTTTCTACTTAAGCTAGAGGAAAGGTATTAAAATCAAAAGAATTAGAGCCAAGGATTTAGCTCAGTGGCACGATGCCTGCCTGGCAAGCACAAGGTCATGAGTTCAATTCCCAGTACCAAAAAAAAAAAATCAAAAGTGTTAGTAAGATAGACAAAATAAAGCATAGTTTTTATATTGACTTTTTCTTAAGCTGTCAGTGTGGTATAATTCTTTCCCATTGTTTCTTAGGTGTATGCCAACCTAACATCTTGCCAAGCTCTTGGTAATATGTGTGTGATGAATATGAATTCTTATGACTCTGCTCTTGATGCATGTCGACTGTTTCAGTTTATCTTTGAAAATACTGCTGGACTGAGCACTGTGCATTCTATTTCATTTTGGTAAGGACATTGTGATCAAGAAATATCAGTTTGACCAAATTCAATGCAGTTGTATTCATAAATACTACTAATAAAATATTTCTTGCCTTTTATTAAAACAATTGTGATTGTTCGTAGGAGACAGAATCTTCCATGGCTGTTTTATGGAGACCAATCAGGACTGGCACCTCAAATACTCAATAGTAGACCTCTTCCTACAAATTTCAGTTTTAAAAGACAAAGCCAGGTACAAGTCACTCTATCATTAGAGAATAACACATTCTGATTTACAGCTTCAAAAAATAGTAAGAAAGATACTGGTCACACTTTTATTCTGTAAGACATTTTTAAAAATTTAGTTACTAAAATATAAATATTAGCTGCTTATTGGAATTAGACAGTGTAATCATTGCTGTCTTGCATGAGTATTTAGATGCTTCTGGGTTATATGGTTATAGCAGCAGGTAGTACTTGTGGAATTGAGAAGAGTATTTTCCATCACCAAATGCAAGGCAATCTCTGTCCTTATAAATCTCCACAATTTTAAGAAGTGCTTCAAAAGATTGATTGAGGCTCTGTGACATTTCCCAGCACTTTACTGGTTCTAATTCTCTCCTCTGTCTTTTTAACTTTCCAGAATGAAGAAATAATCCCTGCCCCTCACACTCATCCCCCATTTAACAGATTTGAAAGGAGGTTATCTGTCACTAGTGCTGCCACTCAATTCTGAAATAACAACTTTTATGCAAAAAACCAGTCCGGGTGGTTTAGGCGTATTTAATATCAGAGATTATTAGATTAATTTAGATTCAAAATAAACATAGTTGAATTTACTATTTCAACCAAAGTCAGTTAATAATGAAAAAGAAAAGATTAGTCAAAAATGGAAATTTCTTTATAGAACATTATATTGCTTTCAGAATATTTGACATTGTTATTGTTTTTTTCTTTAACCAGAATACAGAACTGAAGTTTGTTGCTGCTTCCTATGATATAAGAGGAAATTTTCTTAAATGGCAAACTTTAGAAGGAGGTGTTTTACAGGTAAGCATGATTCTAACTAAAGAATTGCCAATGTTCTTTATTTTTGCCTATGTCAAAGACAAACAGAAAAGACTAGATGTTGCTTGAAAAATATCAGTTGCATACCATAGACTTTTTTTTCTGATGCTTTAAATTGGAATTTCTTAAAAGTATCTTTTTAAGTTATGACTTTAATTTATAACAAAGATATTCCCTTAACTTTTCATGCCCTTGATACATTAGAGCATATATCCATGTGAGAACTAGAAAACTTTGACCCTTAAGCAAAGGAAGTATTTGTGAGAGAGGTTTATCAGCTATATTTTTTTTGCTGTAGCTTTGTCCAGACACAGAGGCAAGACTAAATGCTGCTTATTCTTTTGGAACAACCTATCAACAAAATGTAAGTTTGAGCTATAGTGTGCAATCTGTATTTTAGCTTTGTATTTGAAAATATCACATCAGCAATAATTGGAATAATATGTAAATTTTTGAAATTAGAAATATTTTAATAGTAATGAATTATTTCATTAGTTTTTACTATGTGGGTACAAAAAAAGTTAATTTAATTAGCATGAAGAAACTACCTTGTCATCTATAGAATCTTTTTTCTTTTTTTAAAAAGTGCTGGGGTTTAAACCCAGGGCCCTTACACATGCTAGCCAAGTGCTCTACTACTGAGCTCTATAACCTAGAGTCTAACATCCTATAATGTTAGAAATTCATAATCAATTGTTTATCTGCTTCTAAGCTTAAAGGTCTTAAAAAATAACACAACTTCTGACCATTTAGGGATGAAGTTAAAAATTCTACTTTATTTTTAGTGACTAGTGAATATGTTACTTCTGCTTCACTTTACTCACCAATACCAAACAAAAACACATACTTTTCTCTTCCTTCATACTTTCCCTTCTGTCCATATCTTTCTTTCTCTTTCTTCCCCTGACCTTTTGTTTTGAAATTATTGTATTGTACAGAGGAATATTGTGAGCCATTAAATATTTGAAAGACATTCAGAAGTTTTTAAAATTGCTTCTTGCTAAAGTGTATTTACTGGGCCAGAGATTTAGCTCAGTGGTTACACCGCCTGTCTCCCAAGCGCAAGGACCTCAGTTCGATCCTCAGTACCCAAAAAATAAAAAAATTTAAAAAAATAAAGTGTATTTACACATATATAAAACAAAACCACAATGAAAAATACTATCATGGAATACAGGTTGGAAGAAAATAAACATTTTTAACAGTGATTATCTTTGGATGATTGGATTAGAGATGAATTTTGTCTTCTTATATTTTCTAAATTCTCTACCATGAACAAAAATTTACTTTTTTTGTCAGAAATGATTTTTATGTTATTTTGTTTGTTTTTTAAAAATAAATGTTATTTTGTGTCTACTGTGAGCTCATAGAGTCAATACTTGTTAAGTATCTACTGCTGTATGCTTAGTATTTTATCATTTGATCCATTAAATAACTGAGATACTGATTATCTGTGCTTCACAGATGAGGAAATGGTATTCCATAAGATTAGATAATTTACTCAGTCTTGCATCAGGTAAACTCGAGCTGGTGTTCAGTTAGATTTAAAGCCATGATATTCCATTGAATCTGGCCACTACTCACATAGTTCACAGCCCAATAGACAAAACAGCCACATAGAGAATTGCAAAGGATGTAAGTGTTGTACTATAGGTATGTAAAAGATACTAGGGCATCTTTTACCAGGTTCCCAGGGTAGTGCAAAAATGTTTCACAGACAGAATGATACTTGGGCTTGTATAATGAATATGAGTTGGACAGAAGAACACAGTGGGGAGCAAAATGCCAGGCAGAATCCACATTTGCAGTGTCAGAGAGAGACTGGCATGGCATAGTTAGGAACTGCAGTCGATGAGTGTGAATGGACAACTGTAGACTGGGAGGGAACAATAGACGATAACCTTACTCTACTAGGGTTAGCCAAATCACACATTGTTCTGCATCAACAGAAAGAATTGAGACTTTATCCCATAGGACAAGAGAAGTACCTACACTTTTTCAATCATGTATACTTAATATCCAGAATGAAGGCATATTTTCCTCATAACTATTATAGGTCAAGAACAGAACAGGGGGTTTTGGGGGATTTTCTTTGTTTTTTTTGAGACAGGGTCTCACTATGTAGTTCAGGCTGGCCTCGAACTCATGGTGATCCTTCTGCCTCAGCCTCCCAAGTGCTGGGATTACAGACATGTACAACCACACCAGCAGAACAGTTCTTTACTATTAGGAGGGGGTTTTTTTGGCTCTTATGAAAGAATCATGTTTATAAATTTATATTTTAGAAGTTATATACAAATGCATGTAAAAAAGTTTATTTTTCAAAACTAAAATATGTTTTCTGATTTTCATTTGTAATACTTTTATTTTAAATTTTATTTTCCAGTGTGAGATTTCTCTTTCTAAGATCCTAACCGACTTTCCCACTCCTATATTTTATGATATTTACCTTGAATATATTGATGAAAATCAACAACAAAATATTTGGGCTGTACCTGTGTTAAATTTAAATCTTCAACACTATAAAATGTTTGTGAATCAAGGTAAGATAGCTCCCATACTTGTCATTCTTTCTCTGAGCTGAAATCAACCAATATGATAATTTAATAAACCACTGATTATAAGAAAGGCCATGGATTCTCTTATTATATAGCTTTATACAGTATACCACATGAGACTGCTGTTATGTTTAGGGATTTTTATAAATTTCATTGTCAGGCCTATTAAGAAATTACACTGTTGCTACATTGGATGTCATGGCATATGCCTATAATCCCAGCACTCAGGAGGCTGAGGCAGGAAGATTGCCATTAGTTTAAGGCCAGCCTAAGCTACATAGTAAGTTCAAGACCATCCTGAACTAGATATCCAGACCCTGTCTCAAAAATACCAAAAAAAAAGAAAGAAAAGCAAAAATTTTGTTATTGCTTAGAGTATATCCTGAGACAGCTAGAGATGTAGCTCAATGGTAGAGCACTTGCCTGGCACAAACAAGATCCTAGTTCAATCTCCAGAACTGAAAAAAAGAAAACGTGTATGTTGAGAAAATTAGTACAACTATAAATTGAGGCTTTTTCTTCAAGCTGTCTTTGATTTACATTTTGGACAAATTAATTTTCTTGTTACCTATGGTGTAAAATCTGACTTTTCCAGGTAATTTGCATTCAAACTAATGAAAAGTTCAAACAGTCCGAAGACATTCAAGTAAGATAGAGAAAGGAGATTATCAGGAATTTCTTAGAGCATTTGCTCTTTAAAGCCATCAAAATATTAATGTTGTATTTTAAATTTGTTTAGTAAACTTCTTGAAAGCCATCTTGAATAATTTGAAGATTTTTCTAAAATTCCATCTTTTTCTTTTTGTAACAAAAGACAGTAGCTCTGGCAAGTGGCTTCTGACTCGGCGCATTTTCTTAGTGGATGCAGTAAGTGGACAAGAAAATGACTTAGGAAATCAGCCAAGAGTAATTCGAATTGCTACCCAGATATCACTGAGGTAAACAAATATCTAATTAGATGGCTAAATTAGGCATGGAATGTTTGGGAAAATGTTATAATGAAAGTGCTTACTAGTAATTATCAGATAAAAACAATAAGGACAACTGAATTAGAATAATGCATAAGGTTTTCTTAGATATCTGTGTAGGTTGGCATAGGCCAATAACAGTAAAAAGACAAGGGGGACTTTATATGAGAAGAGCCTGAGAATCCTGGTCAAAATTCAAATTCTGGACCACACTCTACCCATGCTGAATTACAAGGGTTGAAAGAGCAAGGCAAGGCAAGTACCTGTGAGCTGAAATGGGTTTTTGTTTGTTTGTTTGTTTTTTTGGTACCAGGGATTGAACTCAGGACCTTGTGCTTGCAAGGCAGGCAGCAGAACCACTGAGCTAAATCCCTGGCCCCTGAAATGGGTATTTTAAAAAGAGCCTGATAGATGATTGTTAGTAGTTTGGCCTCCTCCTTTCTCATTTCCTTTAATGGCTATTGTTCTAGGTTGACCCAGATTTTAGGTTGACCTGGGATACTTGTGATCCTAACTGAGAGAAGTACCATGCAGCCCATATTTCTCTGTCTTTTCCATCCTATCTCTAAGCTTTTAATTGACTTTCTACTCTAATATTTTACCATGTGTACCCCAGATACACTGATAAAAATTGGTGCCTTCATTTTATATTAATTTGGCACTTTGAAGCATTTCAATGTACACTATTTTATTTTTTCACTGTTATTTCATTTTTATTTTCATAATATTCTGATGAAGTAGACAACACAGAAGCTTTGTCATATAACTTACTGAAATCTAAATGTATTGTTTTTAGCATTCCCTCAATCCACTACTGTGGTATCTCTAATGAAAATGAAATCATACCTAGTCAGGCTTCACTTGTTCTTGATGAAACCCTGCTGGCATTTTTCCTTTTTGGATTGAGACTATCCAGCGCTAATGCATTGTACTTGGCAAAGTGTACCCTGCTTTATGCCTTAAACACTGCTAGATGTGATACATACTTTGTTTAGAAGTAATTTTCTTTTTTGATAATTAGGATATTGTCTGCCTTTCTTAGGCATCATTGTAGCTCTGCTCTTTTGAATATTCCTTAAAGATAGTTCACAGTGCTTAAGCGATTTCATTTATACACTTTGTAGCATCTGAATCAGATCAGTTTCTCATTTGTCTCAGACAGTATACTTTAACATAAAGTTTTGACCCACTGAAGATTAGCTTGAGTTGTTAACGTTAGTTTTTGTTTAACCTTCTCTAGCCCCTGTTAACTGGTCAGAACCAACCAGTTAAAGAAGTCATTGTGATAGTCTATATTAAATTTAAAAGAAATAATAAATAAAATATATAGGTTTAAGGGCCTACATATATTTGTAACTATAAATGTATTTTCTTTTAAATAGCATCCACCTTGTACCTGACACAAAAAATGGAAACATATACCCTCCCTTAATCACAATTGCCTACAGCGACATTGATGTCAAAGATCCCTACCGCCAATCTGTAAAGGTGAGTTCTTTATTAATCGGTGAGCTTGTAAATGTAAGTAAAGTATTAATGTTGTTTACATAATATTAAAAAAGTCCCATTTTCAAGTTTTAAACAAGCCTTCTCTTTATACAGTGAAGCCTTAATTAGTTTTAACTAATAGTGGTAAGAGGTAAGTTCTCACAGTTTCTTTGTTTGTTTTTTGAGGCAGGGTCTCCCTTTGTAGTTCAGGCTGGCCCTGAACTCACTGTGTAGCCCAGGCTGGCCTTGAACTGTCTGTGATCCTCCTGCCTCAGCCTCCTGAGTGCTGGGATTACAGGTGTGTGCCACGCCCGGCTAAGTTCTCACAGATTTTGAGTATGAAAAAGTAAGAATGGATTAAGTGTTGACTACCAGAGTCACTATCGATTGAGCATCCCTGTTAAGGATCTCAGCTATATACTGTTTGCTCCTGTTGGTTTTGGCCGCTTTGCTTCTAATCTTCTTCTCTAGTTAAGCCAGAAACTCAGGATTTACAGTGGGCATAGTGTGCTTGCCAATGTCTAGCCCATTGGATAGAGACATACTTCAACAGGCAAAAAGAGATTTATATTATTAGCTTTATAACTAGTAGTGCTAAAGTGAACTAGAGAATGTAGTTTGGACCTACAGCTTCAATCCACTCCAGAACTGAAGACCTTCCATGCCTAGGAGGGCATATGTGTGGAAGAGAGAGACTTCGTGCATCCCAAAGGCGGGCACACTGAAAGGAAGGGCCTGGAAAAGACTGAGCACACATGCTTCATTCCTTCTTGCAATCTCACCAGACAGCACGTCCCTGCTTTGAGGAGGAGTAAATGAAAAGAGGGATAGAGATAAAAATGAGAAGTGGTCCTTCTGTGCTCCTGTTTTCCTCCCGGAACCTAAGTGGCTATTTCCTTCCTTCTCTGGAAACATGAGAAGTGGGGAGAAACATCATCTCCGAGACTCATATATAGCTTTTCATTTCTGTTATTTTAAACTTGTCTGAATTTTGCTGTTTCGGTTTCCTGTAGCCAGTGCTTTTGGCCTGTTGTGCATGTACTTGTGCTCAGCTGCTATTGGAGTCAAGCTTTAATTAAGTAAGATTAGGCACATAATATAACTTTTCTCTTAAAAATTTCCCATCCTCATTTGTATTACCTAATACCTTGCTAAAATTAGTTTCCATTGACTAATCTTGCACCATATACACTGTAATGAGAGACCAAAGACTCTGAAAAATGTACTTAAGTAACAACAAAAGCCTGCTTGGTTTAAAATGTCCTGTGGTAATTATTCATGGGTAGCCTAGAGTGTCCTTATTGTAATACTAAAGCACTTCTGAATCTTTCCTTTAAACATGATGCTTGTCCAAAATGTTCCAAACAAACTAGTGACAAATTAGAAAATAAAAAATAGAAAAAGAGTTGAGAAAATCATGCAACTACCTTGGACAAAGTCCACTTTAAATTTATTCTAATTGTAAAATGTACAATTTTTTCATCATCTTTAGATTGCCTGTGGCAGGTATTGCAAAAATTTACATCAGTTTTAAGCATCTAGCTGTGTCTCTGCTCTCTCACCTGCAGAAAATAAACTGGGTTCCTGTTTTACTGAGCAGACCAAGACTATCTAATGTGATTCCTTCATATTAATACCTCAGGATCTCTGTGTTTTGTTATCTTTCTCATTCATTATTTCCTATTGCTAAGAAAAATTCCCTCCTCCTAGGCTAATCTTCTACTTGTACTCACAACTCATTCCAGTATCCTGTTTCACCGCAGCACCTTATTTAGTTGCCTTCTCTGCTAGTTCCTTTCTTCTGCTTATAAAACTCTCAGATTGGATTACAAGTTCAAGCTCAACCTGAGCAAGTTAGTCTCAAAATTTTTAAAAATTTAAAAAGGGGGCCAGGGATTTAGCTCAGTGGTTTCGCTGCCTGCCTCGAAAGAGCAAGTTTGATCCCGAGTTCGATCCCTGGTACCAAAAAAAAAGAAAAAAATTAAAAAAGGATTGGGGAGGTACCCCATTGTGAAGGCCCCAAGTTCAGCAAACAAACAACTCCTTAAAACAAACTACAACAACCAATTATGAAATCGAAATTATTTTTTTCTCAGTTCTGCCAGCTCCTTAACTTGGCATTAGATTTCTTTCCTTCATTTCCCAACCAATTACCTTCATCATTTTTCAGTCTGGCTCTTGACATTTTAATCCTTTGAAAACCTCTCTTATGAAGGTCAGCAATGGATTCCACATATAGTGGCTTTATTTCCCTTTTTTTTTTTTGGTACCGGAGATCGAACTCGGGACCTTGCGCTTGCGAGGCATGCACGGTGCCACTGAGCTAAATCCTCGGCCCGCATTATTTCTCTTTTAATTTGACATTTATGCCATATCTGACACTGTACTCTTGACCCCTTCCTTCCCCCTTTCTGAAATTCCCTATTCTGTGACCATGGTAAGACTTAAGTAGCTGCCTCTCAATGTCCTCTTTTCTTATCTTTATTTGTTCTTCTTTCTCTTGTCTCTTAATGTAGTGCTATCCCTAAAATTCTTGTTCAGACTTTTGAGTAGTCTGCCTTCTCAGGATATGATTGTTTTCTAAATTCTTGGTACACAAGTTCAGTCACATTTGTAAGTTATAGAAATCGATCAGAAAATGAAATATCGTTATTTCAGTTTGAACTGCTGTTAATGAACTTACCTCCCAGTGAACCCCTTTCTTTCATGTGCATTTAAAACAGCACAAATAATTCTCAAAAAGCATATCTATGTATTTGTAATGGTCAACTCTAGTAATATAGTAATATAGTTAAAATGTAGCATTCATGGTAAAATCCAGCTGCTAATGTATTTCTATGTTAAAAGTAGGATTGTGTTATATAATTTTAATATGGCTAATTTGTTTCCTTTTAAATATCAGATTTCTTTCTCAGTCAAATATGAAATGGATCAAAGAGAAGCATTTGTCCAGACAGATGTGAGTACATTTTAACATGGCCGGGGTGG